CTCTATATCCACTAACACTCTTGAGCCGCAGGGCATTTGCCATCCGTCCTCTCAATTTCGTGAAAAAAAATCGACCCCACCACCAGAAGGCGATAAATAGAACTTCCTATGCAGTGGTTCTATTCATGTGTCCATGTGAGAGCGTTTCGAGAGAGAGAGAGAGAACTGACTCTCCTCACTCTCGACCATATCAGAGCATTTAGGGGGAGGGAAACTAACTACAATAGGTAACAAGTTACAATTTTAACATTCATCGCAACATTGATTGATAAGAGTATACAATCATATATAATAAATTCATAGTAGTCAATAAATAATTCATTAGGCATTTGAAATATTTATCACATTACTGATTACATTGAAATTACAATCTTTAGTATCTTAGCAACTTACTTATTTAACCAAATCACCGGTCTACTTTAATTAATTAACTAGTTACCATAGTGAGTAGACTATATTTATTTGTGCTGTTTACTTATTTACCAGTTTTAACTTGTATTATTCACTGGTCTCTCTCCTCCCTCTCTCTCTCTCTCCATCTACCCTCTCTCTGTCTCTCATAATGTTATGCATTACAAGAACATTAATAAAATCACATTCTTGAACAGTCTCTGTTGGCATGATGTTCTAAATGTCGTACTATATAGTAATCAATCTATGAATGACTGACTCTAAGTTAAAAGTTACTCAGAACTGATAATCAGAAGAGAATCTGTCCTATTCTTATGACCTATTAAAATATCATATGATAAGATTGTTAATTATAGAATACTGATTGATTGATTGATTGGTTGGTATATAGCCTCTGCCAGGTAAGTCCTACTCATTGCCTTCTCGCACCACGGGTGTTGTTTACAAAAATGAGAGGACGAAAAGCGAATATCCGGCGCTTTAACCGGATCCCAAACCAATGGTGCACATGGGCCGTCTCCAGTATCCTGAAGGAACAAATGGCGTATGAACCAATCGTTGGTCACCGGCTACCATGGGACTGCATCTCCTCACGATGCTCCACCGCCTTATGGGTCAGACGTTCAGGTCGAAGGCTCGGGTTGTGGCCCCCTAAGAAAACCACCTGCTTCGGTTTGGGCACCCGGGCAGTATCACAGCCCTCACACAAATCAATTGAGATTCGTGTGGCGCATATATATTTGGTGCCTCCCTGTACCTATACTTATGTGTTAAGATGAATGATGATATAAACTCATAAGATCCGATGAGATTCAACTCTAAACTTTTATTGATCCTTCAAGATAGTTATTTCTTGTTTAACTAAGCTGGTTCAGTTCCGAACACCAATATTAATTAGCATTCGATATAAGAATCAGGTATTTTAAGCATAGGAAGTTTATATTCAAGCAAATCAGATCACAGTATACCATAAAATAGAAAATGATCATTATACAAGATCAAACCAAAAGTGGCTGTGATTGTGAGAGACCGTTACTAATGAATTAGGAATAACTTAAGAATGGTAAATCGTATAATAGTAGCTAATAGATCAAATAGAAGCTTATGATAAGAGAAATATGAATATAGATGTAATATAGTTAAGTAATGGTTATAGCCCTCAAATGTTCTGGTATGGCCGAGGGTGGGGATAGTCAGATCTCCCTCTCCAAATGCTCTCATATGGCCACGTGTATACAACCACTGTCAGAGACATTCCACTCACTACCTTCTCGTGGTAGGGGTGTTGTTCACGAAATTGAGAAGAAAAAGAATGTCTGGTGCTTCAACTGAGTTGGTGTATATAGAGCATCCATCTAGGATAGTTGGAAAACCCTCATTTCAAACCAATGGTGCACATGAAGTACAAAAGCTTGAAAAAAACAATGGCGTATGAACCAATTGTTGATCATCGGCTACCATGAAACTGCATCTCTAGACGTTGCTCCATTGCGTTGTGCATCAAACTTTTGGATCGAAAGCTCCGTGTGTGGCCCCCCAAGAAAGTTACCTGCTTAGGTTTGAGCACCCGGGCAGTATCATACCCCACACAGAAATCAAGCGACTTGTGTGGTGCATATGTATTCGGTGCCTCTTTTTACCAATATTCATGTGTCCAAATAAAGAAATACATTATAAATAGTAATACAATAAGTACATATGCAATAAAAGTCCAAGAATAGATCCTAGCGATTACTATTTACCTCTTCTTCTTCACTTGGATATAAAAGAACCATTTTGAGCAATCTTTACACATGAGTAAATGATACAGAAAGATAACTCTTTCTTAAGTTAGTTACTGTGTATAACATAATTTGCGAAAAGATTTACCGCCTTTTTCGTTTCTTTTTTCAAACGAAACTGTTGACCACATCATTAAATAAAAGGTATTTTTGTGTCATACAACTAAATTAGACTCTGGAGGGGTTCCAATAGTTGAGATCATGAATCAATTAAAGCTAGAACATCATGAAAAACCTGAAAGCAATGGAAGGCCGTTTCGTCTTTATTGTAGGACTCCACAACAGTATGCATCCACTGTCCCACGTCGAACCCATGACCTATTAGTCTTGCGCGCGAACGCCTAACCTCTAGACAACTGAGCTGGACGTCTAATTTCAACCAATTCACGAAATTGAGCTACACATTCACCATTGTCTTTAGTGAGTTACTATCTTACAACAGACCCAGTTGAACTCTTCTCGTCACTAATTCTTACTAGAACTCCGCGAAATACCTTTTGAAGCCAGTCATTTAGAATCGTCATGAATTGATCACACTATTCTCAGCTTAACGTTATAAAACTTCGGCACGCCTAATTTTTTGAAATCAATATTCACAAATCTCATGAAAGCTAATTAGAAAGACTATCCAATAAATCAATAATGGTTTGTTGAAAGACCTAATTTTTAGCTGGCAAGAGTATCCAGAATTCATATTTTGCCCGATTTGGGACTCATAATCCTGGGCCCATTTCTAGCCACCATCTAACCTTGTCTATAATGATTGTAATTAAGTGGTAAAATCGAGGCAATCCGTATAGGATACACATATGCCAATAAGAGACTAATCAACTGGAATCTTAAACACTAATAGGAAGTGGGTAGTTATCTAGACTCGGTTGTTAAGAGGATAGCACGATGTCGTTTGAAATGAACGTCAAAGAGATTCAAGTTTTGGAGTGAATATCAACTCTGGGATACAAGTATATCCAGCTTACTAGCCCCCAATAGGACAGAACGTGCATCCTTAATTCCACTGCTAGATGCTATACGTATGTATTTATAATGCTTGTGAACAAGTAGCAATATCGAACCGATCCTCACATGATACATATCGGTACAAAAAGCCTCCATACTAAAAATCCTTACCAAATATATCATAGGCGATTAAATTGGAATGAGAATGATCCTTAGGTAGTAGTAATAATGGAGAAATCTGACTATACTTACTTATTCTTACATGTAATCAATAGGATTCCATGATTCCATGACATGATGTGACATGACATGACCCACCTTAACATAGTGACTAATCTTTCTCAATTTCTTGTTACTGCTTAAAATACAAGCAATTGCTTATTCAATTGGATCTCATCTACTGAAAGGGGGATGGAAATGACTCTAATTCTAGTTCTGTAATATTCCACTAATTACTCATTTACTTTAGCTATTATTCATGATGAAAGATTAGATCAACATTCAATACTACTTATAAGTAGCTAAAATGAGTTAACGCAATTTGTTTCTGTTTGATATCAAGTACACCAACAATAAAGACTTAGAAATAAACTTCGTTTCAAAATACTTTAGTAGTTTGGTCATTAATATCAAAATGGGGTTTTTGGATATTATAGCAATTTCAATGTTATAGATCATTATTCAATTAAACTTGAACCACCATCGAAAATCTGGAAGCACTGGATGACCGTTTCATCCTAATGTGAGACTCCTCGACAGAGCGCATCCACGATCCCGCCTCGAGAAATTCGAACTCAGGATCTGTTGGTCTCGCGCGAGAACGCTAGCCGGCATTGGATGGTGTTAATATCTAACTTCAACTGATCCACAAAATCGAGTGACACATTCACCGTTGTCATCAGTGAGTTACTATCACACAACAGACCTGGTTGAACTCCACTGGCCACTGCTTCTCACTAGAACTCCAGGAAATACCTCTTGTAGACACCGTCAATAGCTTTCAAGAAAAAAGTCATTAGGATAGTTTTTAGTATCCGATTAGGTTTTTTAACCCTGAAAGTTGCTTTGAGATGGTGAATCGGATTTGTCTCTCTGGTAGATGCTTTTAGAGGTGATAGGTATAATGAGCTCAATAGTTTAATAGTCAAGCCTTTACTGTTTTTCTGGAAGTCATTTTCGGCTGTAAAAAAATTAGATAGAGGCATTCTATTCCAATTTTCCAACAAGTGACTAGCATTTTATCTTGTATACTTTGGTTTTCATTGTTGTTACCCCTTGTCATGACATTATCTGCTTCGTTATTTCCAGTTCAACTGCTTCAGATGTGCTAAAGGCACCTATCGAAGATAATAGAAGATAGTCATATAATATCATGAATCGATTAAAGTTAGGTTTGTACACGACTGGACCTTGGCTTAGTAGTCCAAATGTCAAGTGTTCCGACGCAAAACTAAAAGTCCTGGGTTTGAATCTCGATAGCGGAGTGGTGGTTGGGCTCTGTTAAGGAGTTTCATACTAGCATAGAACATCTATCCAGTGCCTCTAGGTTTCCAATGGTTGTCTCGTTCTTTGAGATATCTGGTTTAATTGTGAAGATTTCAATGTTCTCCTGAACAACATCATTACCACAAACTTCAAGTAGTGGTTGTCATCGAACTCTAACCTGTTGTTGTTTGTGATTGTTGTCTGTAATTGTTCAAAGGAACAATGAAGATCTAATAACTGAACGGTACATCTTACAGAACGAAACATCACCAAAAGCTTACTTGTTTTCAAGGTATCAAACTAGTTATATATATATATTAGTTTGTTTTTATTTAATACAATTCAATATTCAATTTCTATTTTAAGGCACAGATGAAACAGCAATTATCAACATATTGGCACGTAGAACAAATTATGAACGTCAAGAAATACGTCAATCATACAAAAGTTTATATAAACAAGTAAGTAAGTAAGTACTGAAGTAAACATAAAACCAAGATGGAAACTGATATTGCACTTATGTAATGCTTATCAATACTAGAGCAATGCTTAATGTTGTACGAGTAGGTTGGAAGAATGTTAGGGATAGCCAGACCAAAACATAGCACACATCCATGAAGTCACTGACAAGTGGACTGAGACATTTTGGTAGGTGTAGACTACCTGGTTGGGGACCACGAGATGATAGCAACCGATGGTTAGAGACCCTGACTGACATGGCTCAAAATCGTTTGCAATAGTGTGCGCAGGTGCATCCACTTTTTGTGTTCTAAATTCTAATCTAATGAGTTCTTCATATTCTTTGTTTTCTTTCCAAATTTATTCCACTGGATTATACTCCTAGAATAACATCTTCAAACCCTAATGTTCACTACCTCTACCACTACGGGATTTGAATCGACAGCTGCATCTCTGTGACAATGTGATATGGCAACTTGAACTGATGTACGAACGTACGAAGTTCTATGTTGTTACTGACTGACTGACCATCAAAACTGGTACAACAACTAAAGATTGGAGACGTTTTTTTGTACGTGGGATTACTAAACCTACTAAATTCAAATTATAGAAGACCTAATATTAACTTGATTAAATAAACCATATAAAAGGAAGTGTATTTTGATACCAGTTTGATGTATTTTGATCATCAGTATTTATGTTCTCATTGTGATGTGTGCTACTGATGTCGACAGATATAAGTAGTATGTATCATCAATCAAAAATGAAATGACTGGCAGAAGAAAGTTAAGTAAATCAAAATGAACAAGAATGAGGACAGAGAGTGATTAATGTGGAAACGAAAGAACATTCAAGTTTGAGACAATTGATGGGTATTTTGCAGCTGAAGTATTTACTGTATGGTTCACAAATTTGATTGTTATCTATGATTGTATTTTAGTTTCTTCGGACCGTGATTGTAATTGTTATGTGAATGATTAAAGACGTATGTTAGTCTAGGAGAACGTTTAACTCACATTGAGAATCAAGCTAAAGAAGAATCGATAATTTCTCATAGCTCAGCATTTAGTTCATTCGGTGATCAATATTCTTAGTTGAAATGAACAGAACTTACCAGACTGTTATGTCTTGAAACCGCTGTCCAATATCAGGTGTTATTTCCTTTATAGCCTAGTACCCCTGACCTGACCGATTACACCTCAACCAGCTCTAGTGACCATAAGCTGACATTTAAGTTCTTATTAGTCCACTAATCTTTAGATCCTTCCTATACCAAAATGTGAAGTAATTAGTCCCTTTGATAAATTTCGATAGTGTAATAAGAAGACGAAGATTATCACAACTATGTGATGATATATTATCGTAATACATTTCGAACAATCTAATCACAGTGACCAAATGAAGTTCAACCAGGTCTGTTATGAGATAATAACTCACTGATGACAATGGTGGATATGTCACTCAATTTAGTGTATTAGTTGAAGTTAGACATTAACACAGTTGGATTACGGCCAGCTCAGTGGTCTAGTGGTTAAGTGCTCGCACGCGAGACTGATAGATCCTGAGTTCAAATCTCGCGAGACAGGATCATGGATGCACACTGCTGAGAAATCTTATACTGAGACGATAAAGCTATCTAGTGTTTCCAGGCTTTTCATGGTGATCAAGCTTCATTTGATTCATGAATTCAACTATTATAATATTATCAGAAATGATATTTTAGAGATTTTAGTAATTTCATTGGTTGAATTCATAAGTCAATTGAACCTAGATCACCATGGAAAACCTGGAGGCATTGAACTGCCGTTTCGTTCTGGTATGGGAATCCTCAACAGTGCGCACCGACGATCCCGCCAACCCTCCCTCGCGAGATTCGAACCCAAGACCGATCAATCTAGCGCACGAGCGCTTAATCATTAGACCTCTTAGCCAGCATCATAACACACCTTTCTAATTACTTTTTGTTCTAATTTTGTTTTTATCAAATAAAAGGATCTAAAAGATGATTTGAAATCGGATACTAGTGGAGACTTTCGTAAAGTGTTATGTCAACTAGTTGTTGATACACCATATATGATGGCTAAATCATTATATTATGCAATGAAAGGTTTAGGAACAAATGATCGTGTACTCATTGAAATATTTACCACATTATGGAATGATGAAATAAGAGCTGTAGCTGATGCTTATAAACATGGTAAGTTATGTTTCAAAGGACATTTTATGAAATACATTGTTTGAATACTATTTCTTATATACCCAATTAGGGGGATTTGTAGGGAGTAGTTTGATTCATCTGGATAAATTTAGATGCTTTTGTGTACCTATATGTGTGTGTGTGTATGATTGATACTTCCTGGTTGCCATGTGATGTGTGTTACTGATATCGACAGATATAAGTAGTATGTATATTATCAATTGAAAGTGAAATGTCTGACGGTAGAAGTTTAAGAAGATCGAAGAGAATGAGAACGTGAACAAAGAACGATTGACGTGGAAACGAAGGAGCAATGAAGTCTGAGATGATTGATTGACATTTTACTAATGAAGTATTTACTGTCTAGTTCTCAGATTTTACTGAGATATTCTATAATGGTGTATTCAAATACATTTGATTGTCACCAATAGTGATCTTCTTCACTACAGGCCAAACATCAAAGGAAATTTCACCTTGAAGGATCTAAATAAAAAGTTGGATTATTAAGCTACTATCTTGTTGATCTGCAAGTGTGACAGCAAGCCTGACTATCACATCAGGTCGGTAATTTCTGTCCGGTTTAAAAACTAAGAGGTTGAAAATTAGTCACTTACTGGTTACTTAGATACATATGAATTCCTAATGGTTTCGTAGGAAATTGTAAATAAGTAAAGATTGATGGTGGTTAGCAGTGGGATCTAGGACGAGCGTTTCGTCCAATTCAGGATTCTTCATCTAGATGTACCTTCATTGCAGAGCTGATCTTCACTCCGGGACTCGAACCCTGTTCACAACAAACTTCATCGCGTTATTCACTTAGCTTATCCACTTGAAGCGAATGGTACCGCGTTCGAGTGCTAGAGTGAACATCAATTATGGAATGCAAGTACATCCAGTTGACGAGTCCCAAATAAGATGAAATCCGTATCTTGGATTCCACTACTAGCCACCATCCATCTTTGCTTATAGTGCTTGTGGCTTTAAACTATATTGAAGCGATCCGTACACGATCCAAATATACCAACAAGAGATTGATCAATTTCAGTCTTAGGTATCAATGGGAGAAGATTCAAACAAACAATACAGAATAAAAGTGGGATTGTAAATGTTAAATTTTGTCATTACAATCATCCAATCCATGTGTAGTAGTTTTTACCATTTGTCCAATAAACAAACTACACGTCAAGATTTTGGAATATTCTTTCAAAAGATGATTGGATGGAATATCTTCGATTCTTTCAGTGCTTCTTAGAACTTCCTTGAGTTTACCCGAGGGTCATCCTTATAATTCCACAATTTTCATTCATTTTATCTCAAGTATATCTCCTATGTTTAGTGTTTCAATTCATGGGATAGTAATCTGCTCATGTTTTCTGCCTAACTTGTCAATTTTCTCTCAATTCTTTGATTGAGATCATGAACCGAAGCCGTAACCAGTGGAGCTAATCCGTGTCGGCCCCCAAATGTCCTGGTACGGCCGAGAGTGGGGAGAGTCCGCTCTCCCTCTCCAAATGCTCTCACATGGCCATGCGTATATAGCCTCTGCCAGGGAAGTCCTACTCAATGCCTTCTCGTGGCGGGGGTGTTGTTTACGAAAATGAGAGGACGAAATGCGAATGTCCGGCGCTTTAACGGGATCCCAAACCAATGGTGCACATGGGCTGGCTCCAGTATCCTGAAGGAACAAATGGCGTATGAACCAATCGTTGGTTACCGGCTACCATGGGACTGCATCTCCTCACGATGATCCACTGCCTTGTGGATCAGACCTTCAGGTCAAAGGCTCGGGGTGTGGTCCCCTAAGAAAACCACCTGCTTCGGTTTGGGCACCCGGGCAGTATCACAGCCCTCACACAAATCAATTGAGATTCGTGTGGCGCATATATATTTGGTGCCTCCCTGTACCTATACTTATGTGTTAAAATAAATAAATAAATAAAATCCGTGTCGGTTAGAGACAGGTATCTACCTCGTTACAACGGAAGATGTTCACGCAATCTCGTGGACTGGTCGATATTAGACACGACCACCATTGGATACCGGCCCAGCGATCCAGTAGGTTAAGCGTTCACGCGCGAGACTGAAGGCCATGGGTTCGAATTCCACAAGCGGGATCGTGTATGCGTACTGTTGAGGAGTCCCACAATAGGACGAAACGGCAGTCCAATGTTTCTAGGTTTTCAATGGTGGTCTAACATCAGTCCGTTCATGATCTCAATCAAAAACTTGGTCATCTCTACAACCTCCAATACTGATAATTTTCTCTTACACTATTCTAAATTAGAATATGGTAACTTCAATTGAAACTTATTCAAATCAGATTTGAATCAGCTTCCAATTCATATTTTTAATCTCAATCAACTGATAAAACATTGTACACTTGTGTTAAGATTGAAGTTTATCAATTCACTTTTGTCTAGATATCTAAGTTCTGTTAGTTTAAATGTTAGTTCATGATGATATACATCTAGTTTTGAATAAACTCTTGTTTATCTCTTTCATTCTTAGTACTCAAAGATAAAGGAATTGAAGGTGAGTTGTGTTTATTATATTTATCATCTATTCATATGTTCACTGTAATAGTTTTATTATGGATACTATTATTAGTTGAGATCATGAGTCAATTGAAGTTACACTGGCATCTAACGGTGTTAATGTTTAACTTCAACTAATCCACAAAATTGAATGACATATTCACCAGTGTTATCATTGAGTTACTATCTCACAATAGACCTAGTTGAACTCCACTGGTTATTGATTCTCACTAGAACTTCAGGATATACCTCTTGAAGCCAGTCAATAGTGAGCATATGTTGATTAGTATCAGAAAGGGTTTTGTGGAGATTGTAGTACTGTCATGAGTTAAGATTATGAGTTCATTGAAGCTAGATCACCATGAGAAACCTGGAAGCACTGGACGGCCGTTTCGTCCAAGTATGGCACTCCTCAGCAGTGCTCAACCACGACCGCGAATTGATACTGTTGTCTCTTGTAAAACTAGTAGTTGTGACCTTACTATCTGAAATAATACAACATCATATATTAGGTTGTTCATTCTTTGATTGACAAGTCTAAGTACATTCTGTAATATCAACGTTTACATTGATCAGTCATTGAAACAGTAGTAACCAATGTCATATCTGTCTAGTCTTTAGTGCGGACCCTATTCTATCGACATGTTGTATCGCGGCTACTAGTCAAAATGACGTTCACCATGTTAAGATATTACTTAGTTTGTAGGAAGCCTGTCCAGTATGTAGGAAGCCATAATGGACATAGGTTAGCATTATTCAGCATAATGTACTTGAAGTTTCACATTCCACTGCTAGACTGGTACATGTGAAGAATAAAAATGTTTTTTGTTTGCCACGATGTATTACTAATATTCAGTGGTACAACCGGTGATCGAGATTATATTATGACTAGACTATACGACCAATGTAGCACCAAGCTCAGCAGCAGTAGGTCTCAACATCAACAAAGGGAAAAGCAAGATTCCCCGATACAGCATAACATGCAAAAGTCGAATCACACTTGACGGAGAAGATTTGGAAGATGTAAAAACCTTTATATATCTGAGCAGCATCATTGATGAACACGGTGGATCTGATGTAGATATGAAGGCGCGGATCGGAAAAGCAAGAACATTATATCTACAACTAAAGAACATCTGGAACTCAAAACAATTGTCAACCAACACCAAGGTCAGGATTTTCAATAGAAATGTCAAGACAGTTCTACTGTATGAGGCGGAGACTTAAAGAACTACGAAAGCCATTATCCAGAAGATACAGGTGTTTATTAACAGTTGTCTTCGCAAAATACTTCGGACCGGTTGACCAGACACTATCAGTAACAACCTACTATGGGAGAGAACAAACCAGATCTCAGCGGAGGAAGAAATCGGGAAGAAGCGCTAGAAGTGGATAGGATACACATTGAGGATGGCATCCAATTGCTTCACAAGACAAGCCCTCACATAAATTCTGAAGGTCAAAGGAGAATAGGAAGATCAAATAACACATCACGCCAAGAAATGGAGATAGACATGAGAAGAATGATTAAGGATTGGATAGAACTAGAAAGCAAAGCCCGAACCAGAGTTGGTTGGAGAATTCCGGTCGGCGGCCTATGCTCCATTGGGAGTAACGGGCGTAAGTAAATAAGACTGGATAGTCGATTGATAGGCTATGCGCAGACTAGGCTCGTATTATATCAGACACATGATTTACAACCAAATATAGAGAACTAGAGTATGGACTATATAATAACTTACCTAAGATAAATGTAAATAGTCTGCACTCAATAAATGCAGAATACAAATCAATAATCAATAGTAAGCTGTCCCCGTCACTTCACACTCAGTAATCAATTATATGTTACTCTCATTAGTCGCATATCATAGACATTTATATCCATTTTGTATATATTACATAATGTTGGCAATATATGGTCAGCATAACGGGCATGTTCATTACTTCCCAACTTACATACCAACAATCGAGTTATCCACTTGTCATCTTGTTTACAGAATTCTATTCTAAATGTATCATCCCAATGTTTGAACTATATGATAGATGAATTCTGAGATGCCGCTAGCAAATGCATCACAAGACGTACTTGAAATTACATATGAACTCAAGCAGTGAATGTTAAGCTGTTAAGTCAAAGCCCCCAACAACTGCATTTATGCATCAAGTTTTCCTTGCTATTGTTGTATTATTCGGTTGAGCTGATCATCTTGAATTCGGTTTTCTTTTCCCTCGTCGCCACGGTGGACACTTATTTACTCTACATGTCCCCAAATCAGAACATGGTTCAATAGGAAAGAGATCATATTTCAAATATCAAAGGGTAGATGAAAGTAAGTAGAAGTACAATAGGAAAAACGTTAGCATATTGATAGTTTTCTTATATGAGAAGATTCTAAAGTATTCTCCAAGTTTCATTGGTTAAGATCATGAGTCAGTTGAAGCTAGATCACCATGGAAAACCTGGAAGCACTGGACGGCCGTTTCGTCCCTTTGTAGGACTCCTCAACAGTGCGCATCCACGACCTCGCCCCTCGCAAGACTCGGACCCAGGACCTACTGGTTTCGCGAGCTAGCACTTAACCACTTGACCACTGAGCCGGCATCCAACGGTGTTAATGTCTAACTTCAACTAATCCACGAAATTGAGCGCACTGCTGGGGAGTTCTATAATAGGACGAAACGGCCATCCAGTGCTTCCAGGTTTTCCATGGTAATCTAGCTTCAACTGACTCATGATCTTAACCATTGAAATTACTACAATCTCCACAAAACCCCTTCTGATAATATTCTCTAAGTATCGACTAGCGTTGATTGGATAAGAATTAGCCAATCAACGTACATCAACCCCATTGTACATTGAGTATACTTTAATGTAATCTAGATCCCGTTCACATATCAACAAAAGATTATCCAATTTCAGTCCTAAACATCAATGGGAAGATTCAAACAAATAAGAAACAAAAACAATATCAAGTGAATTAAACTTCACCCCATTGCACAAGCAAGTGGCTATCAGGACTCAGTAGCTAAGTGGATAACGCGATGGCGTTTGAAGCGGACGGTACTGTGTTCGAGTCCCGTAGTGAACATCAACTCTGAGATGCAGGTACATCCAGCTGACGAGTCCCAAATAGGATGAAACGCGCGTCCTGGATTCCACTGCTAGCCGCTATCCACCTTTGCTTATAAAAGATTATCCAGTTTTTGTTTTTCTGTTTTACATCTGAATATCTTTCAACAAACAAACAAAAGAATCAGAACGTTCTTTAGTTACTGATATGAAAAAAGAAACAGGCGGTGATTATGAATATGCATTATTGTGTTTAGTACAAGCTGAACGTGATGATATACCATTAATACAATTGAAAGCAATACCTGAAAAAGGTATTAATTCAATCATTAATCATGAATTAGCTGAAGCTGATGCTAAAGATTTATATGCTTCAGGAGTTGGGTAAGTTATTGTTATAGTACTATTCATTCCTTATATAAAAACGAATGATTTGAGACGATTTTAAAGATAAACATATTCATAGATAATATGAGGATGACTCATGGATGAACTCGAGCAAGCTCTAAGAAGCTGAGAAAGAGCTGAAGATATTCCATCCAATCATTTTTTCGGAAGAATATTCCAGAATCCCTAAGTGTAGCTTCCCAATTGGACAAATGCTTATAATATCAGAAGGGGTTTTTGTTGATATTATTGTAATTTTAATAGTTGAGATCATGAGTATATTGAAGCTAGACCACTATGAAAGCCGTTTCGTCCTATTTTCGGACTCCTCAGCAATGGGCATACACGATCTCGCCTCTCAGGATTCGGATGCAGGACCTATCAATCTCGCGCGCAAGCGCTATACCTTCAGGCCACTGAGCCGGCATTGGATAATGTTAATATCTAACTTCAACTAATCCACGAAATTGAGAGACCCTTCCACATCCTGGAGTTCTAGTGCGAAACAGTGACCATTGTAGTTCAACCAGGTCTGCCGTAAGATAATAACCCACTGAAGACTATAGTGAATGTGTCACTCAATTTTGTGGATCAATTGAAGTTAGATGGTGGCTAGCTCAGTGGTCTAGAGATTGGGCGTTCGCACTCGAGACTGATAGATTTTGGGTTCAAATCTTGCACAATAGGACGGAACGGCCGTTCAGTGCTTCCACGTTTTCCATAGTGATCTAGCTTCAATTAACTCATGATCTCAACTATTAAAATTACTATAATATCGACCAAACAGATCAGATCTCAGCGGAGGAAGAAATCAGGAAGAAGCGTTGGAAGTTAATACGACACATATTGAAGAAAGCACCCAACTGCCTTACAAAGTAAGCCCTCACATGGAATCCTCAAGGCCAAAGGAAAATAGGAAGATCAAAGAACACATTACGCTGAGAAATGGAAACGGACATGAAAAGAATGAACAAAAATTGGATAGAACTAGATAGGAAGGTCCAGGACAAAGTGGGTTGAAGAATTCCGGTCGTCGACCTATGCTCCATTGGGAGTAACAGGCGTAAGTAAGTAAATAAGTAATATCCATCAAACCCTTTATGATACTAAAGTAGATTACTACGGTAGAATCAATAGTTTTTAGAATTCCTACGTAAATATATCATTGCTGACAGAAATATTTTATTAGTCACTAGTAAGTTTTCAATCAAGTCATAACTCTGTGTTATTATGGTGTATACTACCGATATCGACAGATATAAGTAGTATGTGTATCATCAATCGAAAGTGAAACGCCTTGTGGCAGAAGGTTAAACAGATCGAAGAAAAGAGAACAAGAACAAAGAATGATTAGTATGAAAACGAAGGGACAATCATGCTTTGAGACAATTGATGAATATTTTGCAAATGATTCCCATATTTTATGAAAACATTCTATCATATGTGGAAGTACATTTAGTTATCCCTATTTGTGTTCTCGTTCACTCTCATATTAATTCACCAGTAACATATCTTACTTACTTATATACTTATGCCTGTTACCTCTCGTGGGGGGGAGGAGTATAGTTTTCCCACCAACATTCTTTAAACAATCCTTTCCAATTGTTTCCAATTGTTATTTATTCTTTTAATTCTTTAATTTTCTTCTTGTACTTTTCCCTTCAAGATTCCAAGTTAGAACTTGCCATGTGACTCTAGGGGGTGGGGTGGATGGACACAATTTACAATACCATATAATTAGATGGACATTACCTATAAATGTAACTAATTTACTGAGTTATATAATTACTCCGTTTTGCAAGTATTAGTTACCATAGATTTCAATCAGTTATAAGGATTATTTACTGATAACGAAATTCATCATAACTATAATGTTAGGTTGTTACTGTAAATAATTCCAGTGGCATCTTAACTAGTGAATAGTTTCGAGAAGTTATTCCAAGAGTTCTTGTGAGAAGCCATCACCAGCGGTGTTTAGATCGATCAAGTGTGACGCAGTTACACACTAATGGTTTAGTGAATGAGTACAAAAGTGGGGATAATAAAATGTACTTAAACACACTATTACAGAATATCTTAGTAAAAATCTGAGCACCGTATAGTAAATACTTCATTTGCAAAATGTCAATCAATTGTCCCAGACTTCATTGTTCCTTTGTTTCTACAGTAATCATTCTCTATTCTTGTTCTCCTCTTTTCGATCTTCTTAAACTTCTACCGCCAGGCATTTCACTTTCGATTGCTGATACTTACTTACTTACGCCTGTTACTCCTCGTGAAGGAGCATAAGCCGCTTATCAGCATTCTCCATCCAAACCTGTTCTGGACAATCCTTTCCAGCACTTTCCAGTTCTTATTCATCCCTTTCATATCCGCTTCTATTTTCCAACGTAATGTGTTCTTTGGCCTTCCTCTTTTCCTCTTCCCTTTAGGATTCCAAGTTAGCGCTTGCCTCGTAATGCAGTTTGATGATTTCCTCAATGTATGTCCTATCCAATTTCATCGTCTTTTCCTAATTTCCTCTTCAGTTAGAAGCTGGTTGGTTCTCTCCCACAAAAGGCTGTTACTGATGGTATCCGGCCAATGGATGTTGAGTATCTTGCGTAGACAGCTATTGATAAATACTTGTACCTTCTTGATGGTGGTTGTAGTAGTTCTCCAAGTTTCAGCTCCGTGCAGTAGAACTGCCTTGACGTTGGTATTGAAGATTCTGACTTTGATATTGGTTGACAGTTGTTTTGAGTTCCATGTGTTTCTTAACTGAAGAAATGCGGCCCTTGCTTTGCCAATCCTCGCCTTGACGTCTGCATCTGAACCTCCTTGTTTATCGACGATGCTTCCCACGTATGTGAAGGATTCCACATCTTACAGAGTTTCGCCATCAAGCGAGATTGGATTGCTGTTCTCCGTGTTGTGTTTGAGAACCTTGGTTTTCCCTTTGTGTATGTTGAGGCCTACTGATGCAGAGACTGCTGCTATGCTGGCTGATACATATACTACTTATATCTATCGACATCAGTAGAACACACCACAAAGGTATTAGAAGATGATTACGTTATCTCGTGAATTTATAGAAATTATTAAACTATTACAAGCCCATTCAATGTTATAAGTGTTTAACACTAACTACGAGACCCGAAGATCTTTGATTTAACCACCGTTAGGGTCATAGATGCGTACCGCCGAGAAATTCTACATTCGAATTCAATAGCTGTCGATTAGTGTTATAAACTGTAATTGATTTTCTTCTAAAAGATGTTCATCACCATACTGTATAGTTCAAAAACGAAAAATGTATTTTTGCAACATCGATTCCTTCTTTCTTTCTAAAAAGTCGGGTCGGTACCAGTGAAAGACGCATTACACGAGTTATATGCAATAGAACACCATATCAATTATATTTAACATCTGAAATCTATTTCAAAGTAAGTTCCTTTATCTTTGTGAATTACCAATTTGTTTAGTACAAATAAGTTATTCTAAGTATATCTAATTAGATAATTCAATGCATCTGATTCATCACTATGGCATTGTGGAGATTACTATGTTTCTGATTGAGATCATGAACCAAATTGAGGTTAGACCACCATTGAAAATCTGGAAACACTGGACAGCTGTTTCGTCCTATTGTAGAACTTCTCAGCAGTGCGCGAGATTCAAACCTAGGGCCCTCTGTCCCACACGCGAGTGCCTAACCTCTAGTTTACTGAGCAGACATCCAACGGTGTTAGGCGTTCGCACGCGGGACTGAAGTCCCTGAGTTCGAATCCCGCGAGCGGGATCGTAGATGCACACTGCTGAGGAGTCCCACAGTAGGACGAAACGACCGTCCAATACTTTCAGGTTTTCAATGGTGATTTAACATTAATACATCAATCTACAAATGACTGATTAATTCAATTTTATAATAGACAGTTAACATGTTGATAGTATTTGCTTAATTGGAATTACCTTAGAATAGTTGAATTTATTGGCAATCAGAATGACGTATACAGTAAATATATAAGTGGTGATTTATATGAAGTAACTAACTTCCTAACATTTACGTCTAATTTACCATACAGTTTGTTTAATATAACATAAACTTAGAAATTTTGGTTTGAACTTTTCAAAAGTCAACGCTTACAAGTATCTCACTTACTCTCTCTAGTAAGATATATGACATCTGAGTATCTTCGATTGAAGGATGAAGAGATCTTCATAAATCTAAATTACTGACGTATATCTTCTTCGAACTACTCTCATATGGCTACGTGTATACAGCCATTGACAGGGAAGTCCTATTCACTGCCCTCTCGCTACTGAGGTGTTGTTTACGAAATTGACAGGACGAAAAGTGAATGTCTATCAGGGACTTAAACAGGGTTGGTGGACACGGAGAGTTCATCTAGGAGAGTTTGAAAACCCTGATTCTAAAGCAATAGTGCATATGGACTCCAGGATGTTGAAGGAATCAATGGCGTATGAACCAATTATTGGTTATCAGGTACCATGGTACAGCATCTCCTTACGCTGCTCCACTGCTTTGTGAATCAAACCTTCAGGTCGAAGGCTCTGAGTGTGGCCTCCTAAGAAAACCACCTTCTTCAGTCTGGGAACCCGATTAGTATCACAACCCATACACAAATCAAGTGATTCGTATGGCGCATATATATTCGGTGCTTCTGTGTACCCAAGTTTATTTGTTTAAATAAATGAGTGTTATAGATTAATGTGAGGAACTACAATTAAGATTCACAATTGAACGTTAGCGTTAGCAATTAGAATTACTATTATCCTCACGAAATGACATCAGCTAAAATATCAAAACTTTATTTATCCAAATGAGTGAATGAATTTCCCGCCAAAATTCAAGACCTAATATCTTAAATCTGATTGGTTCGTGAATCAATGAGCCTCTCCTTGAAATGATATATCTAACGAAACCTTCATTTTTAATATGAAATGGGTTTTTCGTTACATAATGATATCATCTAGAAAACATTTGAATAGGTGTATTGTTCTAATATGAAGTTTCACAGAAAGTGTTCAATGAGATTCTCTACCTTAAATGACAATCACTAATAAGTATAAGATTAATGTTTAGTTGAAAGACTTCTGGTGTTTAAATTCACTTGGTATTGTTTGGCTTGTATCTTCCCATTGAGCTTTTTAAGACTGAGATTGATCAGTCTGTTATTGGCATATGTGCATACTGTGCGTATTGCCTCGATATTGCCTTAATTCACAAGCTTTTTGTAGTGTAAGTAATGATGGATAGTGGCTAGCAGTGGAATCCAGGACGCACGTTTCGTTCTATTTGGGATTCGTCAGCTGGATGTACCTGCATCTCAGAGTTGATGTTCACTCTGAGTGGATAACGCAATGGCGTTTAAAGCGAATGGTACTAGGTTCGAGTCCCAGAGTGAACATCAACTCTGAGATGCATGTACATTCAGCTGACGAATCTCAAATAGGATGAAACGCGAGTCAAACTGGATTCCACTGCTAGCCACTATCCATCATTGCTTAATACAAAAAGTTTCTGGTATTTAGTTCAAATTGAAATGGATTTCCCTTTATTATTTTAGATGTATGGCAAAACTTTATTGGAACATATTGAATCAGAGACATCAGGTGATTATCGTAAACTTCTTGTTGCTATCTGTAAGTTTAAAGATAGATTTATTACTATGGTTGTTTGAATCGAAATTTGTAATTGTCAGTATGAAGTCATGGAAATGGTTAAGATTTATTGAGATCACAAATTGATCTAAATTGAATCTGTTGTTTTGTCCTAGTATGGAACTCATCAGAGATGCACTTTCATAACTGTGTCACCGAGGACTGAATCCATGACCTTTGATATCGTCCGCAAACTCTTGACCATTAAATTATTGTGACAGAATCCAATCATGTACAAGTTTAACTTCAATCAATTTACAATATTGTGAGATCATATTCTATTGTTCTCGTTGGGTAACTCTTTCACACACGACACGTTTGAACTCTACTGATCACATGTTATCACTAAACCAAAGGTTCTAGGTACAAACTGTTGCGTTAGAGTAGTGTATCCGCACTACCGATAAGTCCTATACTAGAAGTAAATAACTATTCAAGGATTTCGGTTTCTCAGAAGTAAGCAAGAACGAAGATTGGTCCAAGTCCTCATCAACTGCTTACAACCAATTCAATACTTGACAAATCAACCTTATTACAGATATTAACGCACTTAAACATAAGAGAAGGGCAAAGATTTATTACTGCCTCTTTTTTGGGTACATAGATCTGGTTTTGGACGTTTGATCGCTATCGCTTCGGCAAATTTCTAACATCAATCGATTCATGATTTCAATTAAAAACTTAATAATCTCTACAACCCCTATACCGATAATTACCATATGCTCACTAGTGACTAGCTTCGTGAGGGAATTCTCGGAGTTCTAGTAAGAAGCCGTGACCAGTGGAGCTAATCCGTGTCAAATGGAAACAAATATCTACCTCAGTGCAATGGAAGATGAACACGCAATTTCGTGAATTGGCTGAGGTTAGACATTAACACCATTGGATTTCAGCTTAGTGGTTCAGGAGGTTAAACGTTCGCGCACGCGACTGAAGGCCCCGGGTTCAAGTCCCGCGCGAGGGATCGTGGATGCACATTGCTGAGGAGTCCCATAATAGGACAAAACGGCCGTCCAGTATTTTCAGGTTTTCAATGGTGGTCTAACATCAATCGGTTAATAATCTCAATTAAGAATTTCAAGATTAAAATCTGATTGTTTGTTAATCACTTTGAAAGACTTCAGTGTATCGACTTCATCTCCTGTGTCAAGCAGATTGCACTGCTGAATGCTTTTAATCCATTCGACATTAAACGTTTCGGAATATGTTCTTTGAATCAGACATGGGCTCTCCTTTCTGTTCTACCAATGTAACTGCTTTGGCAGATACATGTAAATTTGTATATATTGTTGGTGGTAACGTGAAAGCGATACCTATCGAGAAAATGGAACTTGTTTTCATTTCCATGTTCCATAGTAAACTAGATATTTGGATGGGTTCCGTTGAAAGATTTTAACTGATTTGTTGAATGTTATTGATCTAGTAAGATATAAGGCATCCGTGATGATAAGACCACTACTGATTGATTTCTGTGTTTAATTAGTGAATAGATCAGGTCATTAGTTAGGCTTTACTAAGCTGAAATATTTGGCCAATTTTACATAAGTGTTTGGTTTACTTCATTTTGGTATTGGTTTTTTGAATCTTCTCATTGGCATATGTTTATCCTATACGGATTGCCATATAAGCAGAGATGGATAGTGGTTAACAATGGGATCCGGGACGCATCAACCCTGGAATGCACATACACACCCAGCTGATGAGTCTCAAACAAGACGAAACTTGGTTCTTGGACCCCACTACTAGCTACTATCATCCCCGTTTAGAATGTTTGGTCTATGTTTACAATCCATTAAAAAGGTGAATACCATACGCTCAATTCTTCATCAGCAAAATGTCCACCCATTTTCTCCGATTTTGTTGTTCCTTCATTTCTATACCAATCATTTTCTGTTCCCGTTCTCAACCTTTAACCGCCAGGCATTTCACTTTTAACTGATAATACATACTACTTATACCTGTCGATATAAGTAGTACATACCACAGTAGTAGAATGAGTGGTAATTGGCTTGATTCCAAATTCAATAACTAGAACCATTCATGTTCTTCACATATATATAAACTAATCAGCTATTTTGACTTCAAACTATAAAATTCTATCATTGTTCTTTGTTGATTCATTATTCACTTAGTACGATATGCAATCGATCGTCCCAATCTAATTGCTGAATGGTTACATGATTCAATGGCTGGTTTAGGAACAAAAGATTATGCATTAATGCGTTTATTAATTACACGTTCTGAGGTAAGTTTATATTATTTGTAAAATGTTATTTCATTGGAATCAGTAGCATAGAATATGATTGATTAGATGATCTAAACTGCCAATAATATTGGCTTCATTTTCAAGATGAAACGATCAGAAAAGTTAAATTCATGAGTCAATTTAAGATAGACCATCATGAGAAACCTGGAAACAATAGACGGTCGTCTCATCCTTGTATGGGTCTCCTCAGTAGTGTGCATTTACGATCCCGACCCACGAGATTTGAACCCAAGATCAAGTCTGTTGTAAGATAGTAACTCATTGAAGATAATGGAAGACGGTGGCGTAATTTTGTGGATTGATCGATGCCAGTTCAGTGGTCTAAAGAACGATAGGTCCTGGTTTCGAGTCCTGAATGTGGAATTTTGCATGCGCACTACTGAGGAGTCCTACAATAGGACGAAATGATTGTCCAATGCTTCCAGGTTTTCAATGGTAGTCCAGCTTCAATTGACTCATGATCTAAACCATTGAAATAACAACAGATTTAGTAAATTAGTAACAAATTATAACGTCAATGTAGTAAGATGATAATACAATGTTTATGTTACTTTAATTGAAGGTCATAGAGGTGTAAATAAATAAAGTGATATCATGAGTACTTATGAATGGTAATATGGGACATAAGTAAAGGGGGGACGCAGTAATAATAATGGTAACGATAACGAAAGGACGTACCTCTTTTGTACGCATAGTTCTGGGTTGAGCTCATAGATAGTAAGAGCTTTGGTTGTGCTCAGGAGTTGGTTACGAAGAAATCTAGGTAGATTTGAACGAATCATATATACAAACTTAAACTCAAACTGTGAATCTGTTGAATCATTACAGTCGATTAGATGTTCAAGTGTGGAACTTTTAACTGCTTTCCTCTTACCCTTATAGAACCGAACTAAGACATGTTCCCGTATCTGTGTTGAAAACGATCACTGGCTATGGTTAATGTATCTTGCTCCACATGAGCAGGTGAACTGGTAGATTTATATGAAAGTGACCAGATGGTCCCTTCGTTGAACTTCATGTTTTAACTTGTTTTTCTAATGTACATTCATTTGATTTTATTTATTTTAACACATAGGTATTGGTACAAGGAGGCACCAAATATATATCCGCCACATAAATATCATTTGATTTGTGTGGGGGCTGTGATACTGCCCGGGTACCCAGACCGAAGCAGGTGGTTTTCTTAGGCGGCCACACACCGAGCCTTTGACCTGAAGGTCTGACCCACAAGGCAGTGGAGCATCGTGAGGAGATGCAGTCCCATGGTAGCCGATGACCAACGATTGGTTCATACGCCATTTGTTCCTTTAGGATACTGGAGCCAGCCCATGTGCACCATTGGTTTGAGATCCGGTTAAAGCGCCGGACATTCGTTTTTCGTCCTCTCATTTTCCTAAACAACACCCCCGCCATGAGAAGGCAGTGAGTAGGACTTCCCTGGCAGAGGCTATATACGCGTGGCCATGTGAGAGCATTTGGAGAGACAGACGACTGTACTCTCCCCACTCTCGGACGTACCAGGGCATTTGGGGACAATGAACATTCGATTAATTACATATAATTAGAAGGGGTTTTGTGGAGATTTTTTTTTAGAAATTTCAATAGTTGAAATCATGTGTCAATTGAAGCTAGACTGATAGGTCCTGGGTTCGAATCTTGAAGGGAGCGGGATCGTGGATGTGCATTGTTGAGAAGTCCCACAATAGGATGAAACGGCCGTCCAGTGCTTCCAGGTTTTCCATGGTGGTCTAGCCTCAATTGACTCATGATTGAAATTCCATATATATATATAGATTATTCATTTCTCTATTTACCTCTCTCTCTTGCTCACACACACACACACACTGGAATGATTTCCAATACATTATCAAGATTGATCTTCAAGATATAATGGATGCATATGAAATTATTTATGGTAAATCATTATTGAATGCAGTAAAAGATGATACATCTGGTGATTATCGTCGAACATTATGTGTTCTACTTGGTGAAACATATAATCAATAATAGTTGCATTCATTCTATTCAATCAAATTATAAATATAATCAATCATAAAAATGGTTCCTTTTATCATCATTAAAACAAAACAATAATCAATCACATTTGATCTTGTCATTATTTATTTTATATATTTAAACATATGATTACAAACTTGTGACCTTGTGTTGATTTATTTAAACACAGAAATATGGATACAAGTAGGCGCCAAATATGTATATATGCACTACAGTTCGTTATTCATTTTGTGTGTGTCGGGAGGGTGAGTATTGGAATACTACCCAGATGACCAAACTATAGCAGATAATTTTCTTAGGAGGTCGCTGACAGAGCCTTTTATTTACAGATCTAATCCACATGACAGTGGAGTAACATTAGGAGAAACAATCTCATGGTAGCCAATGACTAACAATAGGTTCATACCCGATTTGTACAATCAGAATCCTAGAGTTTTACGTTGTTACTGACTGAAACCTGTACGAGTAGTCTAGAGTCCTGATCGGTTCGTCTTCCTTCCTAGCCCTGCCTGTTAAGTTCAGAACATCAATCTCAGCCTCCGAAATATAAATCAAGTATTTGAAACATACGAGCCAAACACACTACATCGGAAACAACATTTGTACACGATCTAACCGAAAGTGGCTGTGAATATGGGAGATAGTAATTGATAAACTGGGCATAACTCAAAAACGGTAAATCATATAATAGTCTGTAGGTCAAAATAAAGCTTATAATAATAGGAACGTGAATATGTATAGTTTAGTTACTTAACAACTATACAATAAAAAACTGTAGGATTAGTCCACAAACAGATCACAACAGTTACGATTCATTATCATTCATAACAGGATATAACACACATAAATATTGTTACAAGCAGGCGCCCAAAATATATTTGCGCTACACTTCGTCATTCGATTTGTGTGAAAGGTGGAATACTGTCCAGGCACCCAAACTAAAGCAGGTGGTTTGTTTAGGGGGTCACATCCCAAGCCTTTCACTTGGAGGTTTAATCCACAAGACAGTGAAGTAACATCAAGAGATGTGATCTCATGGTAACCGTTGACCAACAATAAGTTCATGCTCCATTTGTCCCTTAAGGATCCTGGAGTCCATGTGCACCATTAGTTTAGAATGAGAGTTTCCCTACTCCCTTAAGTTCATTCTCCATATCCACCTACCCGGTTAAAGCACAAGACGTTTGATTTTCGTCTTCTCAATTTCGTAAACAACAGTAATGCCGCGAGAAGGCAGTGAGTAGGATTTCCCTGACAGTGGTTGTATATACGTGAACATGTGAGAGCATTTCGAGAGGAAGAGCTAATTGTCTCCACTCTCGACCATACCAGAGCATTTAGGTGGGGCTATTAGCATTGTAAGTAAATCACAGATTAGCAATTAATCTTCTACATTTATAAATGATAACTTAAAAATGTAACTTATTTGTCATCTTTGGTGTTTCATGTCAATTCCTTCACATAATTAGATGATTTGATATTTTCTTTACTGTTTACAAAGAGTACTGAAGAACAAACTTAAGGAAATACTCGTTTGCATCGGGTAGTTAGTTGCTTGTTATTTCCACAATGAATTCATATATGGCTAATATTGTCTGATCACAATAGTGAATTATTTTCTGAGTGTATTCAGTCCTTGAACTTTGAACACCTCAGATCCTTGTTTTGATGATGTCTTTCAGAGAGTTGATAACACGGTATTATAGGTTTCACTGTTTCTAATTCATAAACGAACTGACTAGAGGATTGTTTTCTTTGGATTAGTTATGTACACCAATAAAATCTCGGAAAAATTACAAAACTTTTATCCTAACGAGTTCCAGACTTCTTATGTCGACTTCATTTCGAATGGAAGATAATGTATATGGTTCACGAGGTATCGGTAGCAAAACTAGACAGAGTTGTTATATAAATTGGGACTGTTATCAAAAATGAATTATGGTTTCCAGACCGTCAGAAAAACTAACTAATACTGTGTAGGGATTTCGCCATTTTTTTAATAGTACAGCCTAATATTAGTCCACTTTGAATAGAAATCAAAAACTACCAAGTAATCAATCAAGGTGATCACGAGTGTTAAGCGAAGTATGAGGGCGATTTTTACTTCCCAGAAACACCTTACTGCCGTCACACCTCTGTACAGTCGGCAGTACAACTTCGCCTTCGGAGCTTGAGTTTGCTGCTTTCAGTCTTACCGTTCTTCAACTGACCTGTCTGACATGGTAGGACCTTGAGGAACGATTGTTCCAGCCAGTATAGCTCTATTGGGTTATCACAATAAACAAACCCGACCATCACGTCAAGGTAGCAACAACGGTTGGATGATGATTTCATTGGAATCAAGAAAATGACTCGAACACTGTGACAAAGCGTTTTGATAGGTGAATCCAACTTTTCTATGATCTTGGACATCAAAAACGTCCGTCAAAATCAGCAGTGTTCAAACTTAGTAGCCGAATGAATTCGAATGTTTTGTTTGAAATTGAACACACTGAAGGAAGTGCCTTGCGCTTTCAGAACGAACCTTGGACTGAATGATCGACACACTTCAAATACTAACACTCAGTTTTAATATTCTACTTATCCGTATAGTTTTTTCAGGAAAGTCGTAGAATACCTAATGTGTGTGTAGTGGCTTTCTTTGTATCATCAGTAAGAAAATACAGAATCATAGTACCAACCTCATTAGTTAAAATCCCACCACTAGAACATACTAAACCAATATATGCATAAATTAATTGGTCACTGATACGCAACGTAGAACCGGGAGTATATGTGTATCGGTCCAACTTCGCATAAGATTTTGGGAGTCGATTTTCATGAAAAGTTAAACTAAGTGAACCTGCACCACTACGAACAATTCTGAGTCCTGTAATCCAAACTCTCTAACCATCGGTTAAGATAACCACATAGACTGGTGTCATGCTTTAGTTTGGCCGCTCCGAGCTTTCCTCTAGCCTACTTCACTACACCAGACAACACTGTCCGTAAAAGTAGGTAGTGGTTGAGCATACATAACACATGTTTCAACTACCTTAGTCGATGAATAGCCATAAGAGACACCAATCATAGGAAGCTTAAATTTTTTAACCGAACCAGCAATAAACCTAGTTTTCGACTTGAATTTCAGGCAAAAAATATTCACTTTTACATCGAATACAGTTACATTTGACCAAGTGAATTATAAAAAGAAGGTAAGATTTCGTCAAAATATCAACTTAGAAATTGATTTATGATCAGATCATCCATTTAGTATCTTAATTAACAACAACACGTGTAAAACTAATATTTCTTAAGAAATTCGTTTGTTTGTTTTGGTTGGCGTTGTTTTAGGAAGATTGTTTTATACGGGATAGGGTTGCTGACCCCATACCCAATTCTTCTCCATTGCCCGGGCAAGAGACCGACAGTAACCCTAGAAGAGCTACAGGTGAAGTTAGCCGGATACCATCAGCAACAGCCTACTGTTGGAGGGAACAAATCAGCTTCCAGCTGAGAAAATTAGTAAAAGATGGTGGAGATGGATAGGAAATACGTTGAGTAAATCATCAAACTACATTACGAAGCAAGTGTTAACTTGGAATCCCGAAGGGAAAAGGAAAAGAGAAGGACCAAGGAACATATTGTGTTGAGAATCGGAATCAGACATCAAAAGAACGAATAGCAACTGGAAAGGATTGCCCAGGACAGAGTTGGATGGAGAATGCTGGTGGGTGGCCTATGCTCCATCATAAGGGGTAACAAGCATAAATAATTCGTGTGTTCAACAACTCTTCAGCCCATTGATTTAATCTTTCTATACAATGAAATTAACCCTATCATGCAAAGACACATACACAGGACAGTAGAAAATATAACTATTATTTATGATAAATATATATCTTATTAATATAGGGATAGTAATCATGTGCTCACTAGTGACTAGTTTCAAGATAGATTTCCTGAAGTTCTAGTGAAAAGCTATGACCAGTGGAGTTCAGTCCGTGTCAAGTGTGAGATCGCTATCCATCTCAGACAATGAATGAAAGGTTTGTGCAAGATCATGAAGTTAGACATGAACATCAATGGATGTTAAAAAATATATATTTGACATGTTTATTCCTTACAAAGATGGTAGAACAATATATTTTATTATTACTTTTTTTTGGTAATAATAGTTTCAAGAAAGACTAACTGTTCCATTCAATTCAAGAAAACCATTTGTCATTTACAAAAGACCAAGTTTATGCTCCATCATTAATTGAGGCATTCCAACAGATTCAGAATCTTCCGCAGCTGAAAAATAAAAGAAGGATGACAATAAAGTAATGATATAAGTTATACATGTAATCGATGACAAATATATGTAGAGAGATTGACAAAATACAAAGTAACATAGTTTTAAAGGAAAGGAAATTTCTTATCACAAGTTGGTAGTTGTTAAAGAATTACTGCCCCCAAATGCCTTGGTACGGCCGAGAGTGGGGAGAGTCCGCTCTCCCTCTCCAAATGCTCTCACATGACCACGCGTACATAGCCCCTGCCAGGGAAGTCCTACTCAATGCCTTCTCGTGGCATAACTGTGGTTTACGAAAATGAGAGGACGAAAAGCGAATGTCCGGCGCTTTAACCGGATCCCAAACCAATGGTGCACATGGGCTGGCTCCAGTATCCTGAAGGAACAAATGGCGTATGAACCAATTGTTGGTCACCGGCTACCATGGGACTGCGTCTTCTCACGATGCTCCACTGCCTTGTGTGTCAGACCTTCAGGTCAAAGGTTCGGGGTGTGGCCCCCTAAGAAAACCACCTGCTTCGGTTTGGGTACCCGGGCAGTATCACAGCCCTCACACAAATCAAATGATATTTGTGTAGCGCATATGTATTTGGTGCCTCCTTGTACCAATACCTATGTGTTAAAATAAATAAATAAATAAATAAAGAATTACTGGGAAGAAACAACAGTAACACATTATAGTTACGTAATGAAATCGGGCAAAGCTTGCGTAAGGACGGAGAAGCCTGGTGGTCGGAGCGTGCCAGTGAGTTGGAAGCAGCAGCTGCATCTGGTAATTACCGGAAGCTCTTCCAACTCATCCGAGCCACTGGCAGCAAGAAGTTTGGTGTGAGCGAAACAATCTGCGAGGATGACGGAACGCCAATCACTAACATCCATCGACGTCTTGGACGATGGGCAGAATTCTTTGAAGGGCAGTTCAACTGGCCTGCTGCTCCGGCAACATCGGTCAGACTGTCCTGCCCTCCATGGCCGGTGACGACTGATCCACCAAATGAGGCGGAAGTCCGCATGGAACTCCAACTCTTGAAACGTTACAAATCACCGGGCCCAGACGACTTACCTCCTGCTCTTTTTAAAGATGGTGGTGACTTTTTGACTAAGGGATTGACGACGTTGTTTACAAAGATCTGGGAACTAGAGAGTGTACCAACGTCATGGAATGAGTCGATAGTTGTCCCTATCTTTAAAAAGGGTTCACGTTGTTCCTGTAACAACTATCGGGGGATAAGTCTACTTCCGATTGCGTCCAAGCTATTGGCTTCCGTCATACTTCGTAGGTTGTTCAGGACCCGAGAAGGATTGACTCGCGAGGAGCAGGCTGGGTTTCGTTCTGATCGAGGATGTATTGATCATATCTTCACCCTCCGCCAAGTGTTAGAACACCGCCATACTTATCAAAGGCCAACAATCGTAGTGTTTCTTGATATCAGGGCTGCCTTCGATTCGTTGGACAGAACTGTTCTCTGGGATTGTCTATTGAAGAAGGGTGTGCCTGAGAAGTTTATTAACATCCTAAAAGCCCTATACACAAACACCTCAGGCAGAGTGAGGGCATACAACCACCTTTCTCCACTATTCCATTCGAGCAGTGGGGTTAGGCAGGGTTGCCCAATCTCACCATTCCTCTTCAACTTTGCCATCGATGACATTCTGGAAACAGCTCTGACGGATGTAAGTAATGGTGGTGTGGATCTGTTGCCTGGAGAAAGACTTCTCGACCTTGAGTATGCGGATGATATTGTCTTACTGTGCGAGAATGCCCAAGCTATGCAATCCGCACTTAATCAGTTGGCAATCAATGTCCGTAGGTATGGTATGTGCTTTGCACCTTCGAAGTGGAAAGTTCTTCTACAAGACTGGCAGGATTCTAATCCTGTACTCACTCTGGATGGTGAACAGATAGAAGTAGTCGAGACGTTCGTGTATCTGGGTAGCTGCATAAGTGCTGGTAGTGGCGTGAGTGATGAGATCAATGCACGTATAGTGAAAGCCAGAGCGGCTTATGCCAATCTGGGCCATCTATGGCGCCTTCGTGATGTTAGTCTGGCTGTAAAAGGTCGGATCTACAACACGTCGGTGAGAGCAGTTTTGCTCTATGCTTGTGAAATCTGGTCTCTCCGAGTTGAGGATGTTAGACGTCTCTCTGTGTTCGATCATCGTTGTCTCCGAAGGATTGCTGGCATCCAGTGGCAACACCATGTCAGTAATGCAGAGGTTCGGCATCGAGTGTTCGGTCACAGAGACGATAATGAAATTGGTGTCACCATCTTGAAACACCGACTTCGGTGGCTTGGACATGTTCTACGAATGTCGTCCCAGAGAATTCCACGTCGTGCATTATTTGCCGACTCTGGGACTGGTTGGAAAAAGCGGAGAGGTGGTCAGTATATGACATGGTGTCGTGGTATGAAAGAAAGCTGCAAAGGGCTAGCTTCTGTTGGTCCTTCACGACTCCCTGGTTGGGGTCCGAGAGACGGTGTAACGCAGTGGCTAGAGACGTTATCAGATATGGCTCAGAATAGAAGCCAGTGGCGATCCTGCTGTAACCTCTTACTTTCTTCATAAAAAGTGGTTGTATCTTCCTCAATTGAAAGATCTCTTCTGATTGTACCTTTCCGTTTCCCCCACCATTGTTCTCTCTCTCTCCCTTTTTTTTTATAATTCCCCACGCTCATTACTTTTTTTTTCTCTTTTCTCCTCTTCAAATTATCATTGTTTTGTGTGGCGCATATATATTTGGTGCCCCTCTGTACCAATATTTATGTGTTCAAATAAATAAAATAAATAAAGTGGGAAGAAACAACAGTAACACATTATAGTTCATCATTTTATCATAATTTTAAGTTTTCCAGAGTAAACGTTTTGTTTCGGAAACAAACAGATTTATCTTTAAAACATGAAAGAGGTACCGGGGGTTGATGGTAGAGCTAGTAAGAGTATAAACAGTAATCAGAAACATTAAGGTTTGAAGATGTTATTCAAGGAGTATAATACAGTGAAATCAATTTGAAAAGAGAAAAAAGAAAAGGGTATGAAGAATTCAGGAGATTATAATTCGGGAGAACGTAAAGAGTGAATTCACTTGCACAATTACAAACGATTTTGAGCCATGTCATTCAAGGTCTCTAACCATCGGTCGTTATCGTCTCGCGGATACCAACCAGGTAGTCTACACTTACCAACATGGCTGTCCACTTGTCAGTAACTTCATGGTTTTGTGCCATGTTTTGCTTTGGCCTCCCCCAGTTTTCTTCTATCCTACTCCTACACCATAAAACATCGCACATCGAGGCAGTCGGTAGTTGTGCATATGTAACACATGTCCCAGCCATCTAAACTGATGAGGTTTTACCACTTCACCAATTGATTTTCCATCCTTAACTAGTACCCGTTTCCTAGCAACTGCATTACTTACCCGCTAGTCTCGGGATATACGAGCAATTATTCGAAGACACCTATGGTCAAATACTAGTAACCTACGAATATCCTCTACTCTTACCGGCTATGATCGTTCATATACATTAATTAGTTCATCAATTCGAAAAGTTAGAATAACCAAAGAATAAATACAGGTGTAACATCAAATAAATGCAAGACAATGCTAATTTCACACAGTAATAACCTATATGAAGGCTAGAAACACTAGTAAATTATTTATTTCCACTGTATCAATAGTGGTATCGAGGACATTTGGAGAAACAAAAGACAAATCAATATGTTACCAAACAAAATCTACTTACGATTAATAAAGTCAGCTACATCAATCTCATCTAAACTTCCATTTAACTGACTAGCTAAAGGATGATAAGAATATAAACCAGGTAGACGAGGTTGAATACGTTGCATTATACGTTGTTCCATAGATAAACGTAATGGTGCATGTAAACCTTGAGCAGAAGCTAAAACTCTCATTCTATTAGCTTTTTCAGCTGCTTTACCAAATTTTGCAAGAGATTCAGCTACTGGATGTGGAAAATTAGTTGAATCAGCCACTTTAGATCCTGGAATTGCAGCTAATGATGATGCTTGTTCACTTGACCATACAGTAGAACCAATTACATCGCCTAAACTGTTATAGACAGATAAAAAACACCAAAACATATACAAAGTTACATGCCAATCATTTTCAATTGAGTAAATGTTTATTAAGTTTCAAAAAAATTGTTACGCAATAATAAATAATAAGAAATCTGTCTTAAAGATTATTTCTTCAGTGCTCAAAACTGAAGATAAGTTGGCAAAACATTTTCTACTTAAGAAAAAGTACAGTATATTAATAGATTTCCGAACAGGAATTTTATTACGTGACCCAAGTATTCAATTCTCAGCACAGATGTAATTGCCCGAATTCCGTGGTACGGCCAAGAGTGGGGAGAGTCCGCTCTCTCTCTCTCTTCTCCGAATGCTCTCACATGGCCACGCGTATATAGCCACTGCCAGGGAAGTCCTACTCACTGCCTTCTCGCACCACGGGTGTTCTTTACGAAATTAGGAGGACGAAAAGTGAACGTCCAGTAGGTGCTTAAACCGCGTTGGTGGATATGAGGCATCCACCTAGGGGAATTAGAAAACGTTCATTCCAAATTAATGGTGCACATGGGCTGGCTCCAGTATCCTGAAGGAACAAATGGCGTATGAACCAATTGTTGGTCATCGGCTACCATGGAACTGCATCTCCTTACGATGCTCCACTGCCTTGTGGATCAGACCTTCAGGTCGAAGGTTCGGAGTGTGGTCCCCTAAGAAAACCACCTGCTTCGGTTTGGGCACCCGGGCAGTATCACAGCCCTCACACAAATCAAATGAAACTTGTGTGGCATATACGTATCTGGCGCCCCCTTGTACCAGTATTTATGTGTTCAAATAAATAAATAAAAATAAACAGATGTAATTAATTCAGAACCACATAGATTTTAAATGTATTGTGGTGTATACTACCAATACCAACAGATATAAGTAGTATGTATCATCAATCGAAAGTGAAATGTCTGGTGGCAGAATGTTAAGAAGATCAAAGAAAAGAGAACGAGAACAAAGAATGATTGATGTGGAAACGCAAGAACAATGAAGTCTTAAACGATTGAATGATATTTGCAGAAGAAACAGTCAAGTTTAAGACAATTGATTGAGACTTTAAAAATGAAGTTTTTAATTTATGATTCTCAGATTTTACTAACATGTTTTGTAATTTTGTGTTGAAATACATTCGATTATCTCCACTTGTGTTCTCGTTCACTACAGTGTGACATGGAGAAGTATATATCAACTTGTAAATAGTTACTCTGATTCTAATTCTTTCTTCCTGTTCTACATCCTTATATGGAATCTTTCTTATATATTATCACCACTGAATTAACTGCTTCTATGAATTTTGTGTTCATCTTGTGCTAATGAAATGTAGCAAGTTGAACCGATGCATATATGTACCTGGTCCTACGTTGTAGCTGACTGACTGACTGAAAAATCTATTATACATTAAGAAATTGAAGCCCATGTAAATTCCAAGTTGTAACAACTTAGTCTACACTCCCAAACAGAGTAACTTTGATTAGAATCATCTTTTCGAACTCGCGAACAGTTTTTTTATAGTACTTATGTAGATGTGATTTGATGACTAAAGTCTTCACTTAAATTCGATGAGTTACAGGTTAATGCAGAAAATTGATGTGCCTACTTTAGTCTCACCAGATGTAATGTACTAATAACAATGGATATAACTTACAACTTAGTATACAGATAAACAAGACGTTTTTGAAATTAGACTGCTACTAAGTCATACAGCTCTTTCAGTTGAATTAACATATTGTCCCCATGTGCTCCAATAACGAGTAATATAGTATGGAATATTATAGCTTATTTAGAAAACGACTTACCCAGTGTACATTAATGGACGAACAGCGAATTCAGGATGCAGCATTTTGTTTCCTTCTGACATCTTTGAAGTCTTATAAAATGAAAAAAAATGCAGTGATTTGTGATAGGATTCATTTCAAGACCAAAGAAATTAAACAAATAATGAAAGACAAGAACCACTGTTATCCTTATGTTTTTGACAGTAAACATGAATAAGTTACAAATTAAAGCAAAACCTGAAAAAACTAATTATTCATTGATTATACAATCATTGGACCTATTCACATATCATTGAGTTCTTTCCCGTAAATCTCCTATTAAAGTTAACCATTGAGAGGCTATAATCACCTAGATTTTCGCCTTTTGATGTGCAACTTTTCAAGAGTTGCCTCGAGGAATATGGTGATGATGTTCTAATAGGATTTTGGTGTTGAGGTGACTTGGACAACTTAATTTGTAGTATGACATTATCAGATCACCTCTTATTCTCCTATAGCTCAACGAGAATAATCCCAAGTGTTGGAGTCTATTTTAGTAAGATTTATTCTTTAGACATCATCTATTTAGTTACCCATCTTTGTACTTGGTCCAGGGGATTTATGTCCCTTTTGGAGAGAGAGGGACAACCTTGTGGACTTCAATATGGGGCCATGAGTATGATTTAAAGAGAGTTAGGAACAGTTCTGGGTTGATTGAGCCAAGTTGTCTTAGTATAAATTGGAGAGTTGAATTCAACTTGGCTGGATCCCTATGTAGGTTGACTGGTACCCAAGCTCTCTGGGTTACTCTAGGCCTAGATCGGAGTCTGAGGAGAAAACTAAGAGGAGGACGTAGCTTGTTTGTGTCCATGGAGCTGAATGTTCATAACATGACATTTCGACAGGTTGTTTTAACCCATTGTCTACTGCCCAATCCTCATTGTTGTAAGGTCCTTTTGAGGTCCAAGTGAGTCCTTTTTTGCTTTTTATGAACCTCAAGATCTTCGCGTCAATTAGTGAAGTTGAGCTAATTTTATCTAAAACATCATTAATAAAGATCAGGAAGAGGAGTGGACCTAAGATCGTTCTCTCTCAAGACCCACCAATTTACATGCACTCTATTTACTTTGGGATGAAACATCCTGTCTAGATAGTTTTGGAGCTAAGATAAAAGTGAATCAGTGAAACCTGTATTCGCTACCTTAGCTATGAGGTGTATAAGGCACTGTTAAAAGCTTTTGAGAAGTCGAAGAGTACGGATCCCCTGGTTTGTAGGCCTTCTCCTGGTCATGAAACTGTAGATAATTGGGGTCAGTTTGTATTTTGGCTGCCAGTTCGGCCTCAAACTTTTGCGTTGCATCTGTTCCTCAATGCCATGTGAGAGCTGCGGTCAGAATCCTTCAAAGACCCCCTATTTGTGTCAGGCTATCTTTTTGACCTGTAACAAGCGTTCTGTGCTCCACTTAATCTTGTATCTCCTCTTTCCAGGTCCGTGATTTACCTTTGGGTTTGTGGACATGGACATCCTTGACTAAAGGCTGATCATTCGTCAGCAAATAATGTGTTCGGGGTTTTTCTGTCCTTATCTCTTGTGGTGTCGCCACATGTTCCATTAGTCCCAAATTTCTAATGACTGCCACAAGTCGCATATAAAACCACTCTGAATGATGAGTGAAGCCACAATATGAGGTGAGGATGGAAAACCCTCAAGCTTAATAATTTGCTGACAAATGATCATCTAGTCGATATTACCGAAGGCCTGGGACCGTACAGAAATAACAAGTGATGGCAAAGAAATCATTCAACTCATACAAGCTCGTCACAAACATATTGGATATACTGCATCCATATTATTTAGACGAATGCAGGGAATAGATGGAAACAAAGAGTAGACTGCTCCATAATCAAGTTATAATATTCGACTCATAGGAAAAAGCAGTATTTAAACCAAACCTAGCCACCTTATATTTTAACACCTTTATAGATTTATCTGACACCCCCTCCCACTTATCATTAGCTAGACCAATAGATGTTATAATATGGATACACAAACTTGGACATGGTTACAAAGGAAAAGTACGCAAAGAAGAAATAAATTACAGAAAGCTCTAAAGTATGAGTTGATAGTTTCAACTACAGAACCCCCTTATCAACACAAAACAGACCATGTAGGAGCATAGCCTCAACGTTCCAGATTTGATTAGGAAACAAAATGAAGTCAATGATTAGTTTACAGCAGAACATTGAGAATTAGGGGAAAAAGTGAGACCTGTATGTCCGTTGCCAAATCGGACTGTAGTGATGAGAAGTTTAAGAAACAAAAGATCAAGTCTTATCGAAACAGATGTCACAGAGAATTCAGTCCTCCGGAAAGGAACCATAAGCTGGGTCTGAAAACGAAGCAAGTCATACTAAATCTTTAATAAACAAGGTACTACCGGAAACAGTAACAGGAGCTAGCTTTCATGAGCTTTACAGAACAGGACCAAAAGTGGATTCCGAAAGTGAGCAGGCAAGAAGCCTTCTAAAAATTACTTTTACTACTGATAAGGAAAGAAGCATTATACTGACTGGATCCAGAATATATCTGTACATATCTCAACCTGGCTAATTGTACTGAGACAATTAAGAGGCAGAAATAAACAAGCACCGCCGGGACGATGAAAAAACCTTATACCCCACAGCAGTGTAAGTGGGCCGATTTTAATGTATAAAATACCTTCTTTTTCTTGCAACAAAATCAGTACAACTCACAAGGCAAAAACCAATAACGGACAAAATACCCATTGTATGCAGGTTTTACACCAAGCCATCGATTTTTGGAACCTGTTACTCTTATAGATTGCGTCTTCACCCTTAATTGGCTCGTTCAAGAAAAGACATGACACTTAGTAGCTTACAAAAAAGGACTAACAAGCAACAGATCTTCCGTCCTCAATGCACAAATCCAAATGTGAATAGATGGATTTCAAGTATGTCTGAGGATTTTCGCAAACATATTTGGAGTGGTTTTGATTAAGAGCAAGAGAGTATGACTAATACCAACCGAACACACTACACTAAATAACGACACGATTTTAGACACTTACAAAGCAAATGTTCGAAATCCCGGGAGTACCAAAAATACTTCAGTGTCCAATTCCAAACTCAGCAGAGTTAATTAAAACCTTATCTGATAGAACCAGAAGGGTGTTATCTCTGCATTAGTTCAGCATTTCGGGTCTTCCCATTGGTTTAAAGTTGTCTCGACAGTTTCCCGACAGAAACAGCAATAAAAGAATATTGTGTAGCCAGCTTTTTGATTAGCATGTTGATGAAAACCTAACTATATTTGGATAGATCAAAAGCTTGTCAACTAAATAAGCTATCGGCAATACTACCAGCCACTTCACATCAACTTGGTTGCACATGAAACCGTGGCGAATAACAGATCCATCTACCTCACAACTAAATACCTTATTTCGTGTTTAGATCTGTTATGACAACTCAACACAATTTTATTCTGGTTACTTCACTCTCGACTTCTCGCTTGTGCCTTGCCGAAGTTCTGTGCCAATTGGAATCGGTCGTAATTCGTTAGACTACTTTAAATCCACATCTCATGTCACTCCTTAACAGATTTTAATGGAGGTGCGTATAGTTGGTCAAGGAATCTTCTACATCCTGAAACACCTATTTCATTTCCATCCAAAAAGCTAGAGAAATTGTCAATAGGTCATTTTCAAGTAGCATCATTCAAAACATTTGAAAGACTATAATTGAGCAAAATAGTTCACGCTCATACAGAAGCAACACATTCAGGGTTTGACAACACTTTCGTTCTTATTATCCTTATAATCAGAGGATACCAACACATCCGGGTCATATGTCAAGGGTAAATAAATTTGAAGACATATTTGGAAGATATTCGATGTATTGAGAAGAGTTTTATCTATGTTGGGTGATAGTTGCGTCGGATGAAAAGTACTTCGTACCCTCCCATGGTCTGGTATTGGTGCGTAGCTGAGTGCTTTCCACTGGACTGACCAGTAAGAACAATGAGGCTAACATGGACATCAAAGGCTTGCCGTGCTGTGTATTCTGAGGATTGATTAACCACTACACATACAGCAATTGATTTCATACTACAGCTTCAAAAGCACAAGCTTCAGTGCGACTTCGATGAACGATTGCATATCCAACATCCTAACAGCATGGTTAACGATGCAAATGATCCTAAATTAGAGAAGTGGCTTACAAGAATGCCTTCTTGCACCCCTCGGATAGCGTGTTCTATGCTTCACTAATGAACACGTTGATCCTCTTTGTGGTGAGTTCACGAAACAGAATTTCAAGTACTTCAATATCGGGACATTGAACATTTTTTGATCGGAATCGGTTGATTAGAACATGAGAATGAACTCGTGACTTATTGCAACTCACATTTAATGCAAAAATTGATTACTCGCACATACAAGCTCTATCCGTTGGTAGCATAGAGTTGAAGTCGTAAATAAATGCCCAAGATAAATAGCTCTGTAAGTGTTCTACATTGGATGCTGACCACATTAGCTTTAATGGACTCATCTAGCTGAAGGCTCTCGGTCATGCATCCGCACCAGATCAAGTGTGCGAAAGCCGTGCTCAACACCTGCTGCAATCGCTAGCCAGATAAGTTCAGTCGATCCACGATATATTGATAGCCCATCAAATATATCTTCGAATCTCCTCGCTTCTGTCTTTTGATTTTACTTGGTGGGTACGATTCATATTAGGCGTTACTGGTTAAAGCGTTGTCAAACTCCAAATACGTGTGGCATCTTCAGAGTCAATTATTTCTTCATGATAATATTCAGTTGAAACCTAGAAAAATACAGTAACTGGTATCGCTGACCATCAATAACTGACTATTATTACAGTTAACATTCCATTGAGGAAATCAAAGATCTGGTCTCACCATGTGGATCCATTAAAAGTGGGAGATAAAGGATTTGGAACTTGTGGTGATTACCACCTGAAACTAAATACTCGGTTATTGCAACACGGTTGTACCTCTAAACGAGCTAAAGACGCTTTTCCACTTTTCTAAAATATACCTGAAAGATGAGTACTCGTTAATTCCATTGTATGAAACCTCTTCTATCCGGATAGAGAATAGATGAATGGTTACTTCTGGAAATTATTTATTAACTATTTTTACATATACCCCTACTGTATAGCTATTAAGTAACTGAACTTTATGTATATTTCATATTCCTCTTGTCATAAGCTTTGATTTGGATTGTCGGCTACTGTTATACGATCTATCTCGACAGAGTTGCAACGCTAACGAAACTGAAGATACTCTATATTAATTATGAGTGTCAAGGCATTAATCTAAAATATATATGTAAGGTGAAAGTTTGCAAATTCCATTGGATAAAAACTTAAGTGAACTAACATCTATTAAAACCGCATTCTGGCTGTACAGATTCAAGCTCTGGCCGTTCGGATTAAATGTTTCATTTGAGATATTTCAGAAGGTTAAAAATCAGACTATTACAGGTCTTAGTGGTATCAATATGTATAAAGATGCTACCGAAGCTCATGTTGGAAATATTAAGTGGCATGATGAACAACTTTTAAATTTACTCAGACGCTTCTGTGATGCATATGTGGACGACAATCCACGCAAGTGTCAGTCTCAACTTATTTCGGTCAACTGCCTGGGCTGTACTGTAGATTCTGATGGTTTTTAACTTGATATGATTCAAGCACAATCGCTTACTGATATCTCTGCACTAAGGTCGTACATTGATCTCATTCGGTTCAATTTCAGATTTATTTTTAAGTTTGCATAAATATGATCATCATCTCTTAAATGTGTTTCTAGTAAAGAATTCGTATGAAGACAATGACACGAGGAGACATTAAGGAATTCTTAGAAGTATCCAAATGGTAAGGTCAATCTCAGACTTCTTTCGCCGACCGAAAATCTATTTTTACTACAGATGCGTCTCCATTGGTATAAGGTATGGTTATACAGCAGAATGAGGAAACCGTTAGTTTTATTTAATACATTTGAACGAGAGTAAACAAGGATATTCTCAGGCACAAAAGTAGGTTTTGTCTGTGGCAAGGGCAGTAAAATGATTGCACAAGTACTTGTTTAATGTAAAATTTCATTTCTAACTGATCATTAGGCGTTACAGTTGAGTTATCATCCAAATAAGTCACTTCATAGATCATCTGCTGACATAATGCAGAGATGCAATTTAAAGTCGAATGCTTGTAATTTCACCATTGGGCACTGAGTGACCGAAACCATACCACATGCAGGTTTTCTGTCGTAGAATTATGGTCTGTCTCTGGTTTAACACAAAAAGATCACGTCTACATGGTCGAGCCATTCGTTCCTGAGTGGTCCTTAGCGCGTTCACCATTACCGACCTCCTTCAAGTGTTATGTGTTGCATATCATTCTTTCCATTAATTATATATTCAGCTTGGGGACTTGTGTAGTTGAGTACCAATACCACTACACTTTCACGCTTTTTATATTTCGAAAGAGTACCTAACGAATGTGATTGTATATTGATTTAGCCATTTGCTGTTGATATAGCAGGACTTGCAAAGGATATTAGTAAATATTTTGGAACTGTCAAAAGTGCGATGAAAACAGGTTAGAACATACGGTGCAAGTCCAAGTTTCCTGTATTTTGCAAAGAAAGAGAAGACATATTGGTACGTTCTGAAGGCTTTTTGTGCATCAATGCATACGAATAACGACACAAGGATACAACAACAAATGTTTTAAAGTCCTCAAATTAAAAAGTCATCCTCAGACAGTTTTTGCCAACCACAAGTTCTATCTGTGGAATTATGATCGAATTCTGTATTAGTACATTCACCTTTGCTATCATAATAACAAGTCTCAAAACTGTAGGTCTGTCGTGATGATACCATTTAGTCTGTGAGATTTTGTATGGAGAATACCTCACTGTCTATATTGACTCATCCTGTTGTGAAAATCAGCAAGACGATGTTTAGTGCTTCTGAGGAGAGCATTTAAGCTGAGGATATAATAATATATTCAACGTGGGTAAGAATGAATTACAAAAAATGACCACACCTGTAAGCCTAGTCATACCGAACCGATCAGTTGTCCTCGTCTTCATCATATTTGGCCTTCTCTAAGCGCTGCATATTGGATGTAAATCACAGTGATTATATGTTCAGCTTCAAAGATTGTGCAATTCGGGACCAATATTATTGAATATCATTGCTACAGATGTACCTTCGTCGATGTTCTAGGTCCGAGAGGTTTCAGATCAAAATGAGAAGCCTGCCACATTCGGCTCAACGTCCGACAGGGCCTTGTTTGACTGTTAATCCTTCAGCAGAATTATGATGCCCGTCTATCTATTTACTTTACGAGACTTACCGTGCTATTCTTTTTCTGCCCGAAGTGCCAGCTCTTGAATCAAGAAGTTGTAACATTACTTGATTACGTGACTGACTTTCAAATTATCTGTGTCATTTAAAATGAGTGATACCCCGAGATGTCACTAACACCAGACCAGTATGCTTACACACACCTACAAAATCGTTTTGATTTGAGTGGATGCGGGGAGACAGAGACCACAACAACCTTATGGTGAACTATTTGTTACTACTGATTCGGTCGATAAGTATTTTGCAATTAAAAGAGTCCAGAAAATTGATACTACTCCAGTGGACGGACTGAAAGTAGATTTCACAGAAAGTAGGTCACCTTGAAGTTATTAAAGCGCACACTGGTAGGAGTCCTTTAGCAACGTCTACTTTATGTATTCTCTTTAGCATAACAGCCCTGAAATTGCCACATACATTTATGAAGTTTACTCAAACCTGTGTCAATTTCCTGAAGTTTATCATGTCGAAAATAACTCATGCTGGATGATCTGTACATAACCTTATGCATCACATATAAATGTTTCGTTAATTTTCTTTGTTGTCTTATATTGAGGTTTTTTATGCATAAATATTCGTTAATAACATTGTTTTTTTGCTGAAACATTTTCGTCATTACTGACTTATAAGCAGGTATTGTGTATTTCAGATTCACTTTAAGAAGCTTTCAAGCTAAATGTCTATATCGCAATTCTTAAACAACATTTATGAGAAGAGAAGTGAGACAAGTGACTATACAAATTAAATTTTCACAATCTTACTCATATTCAGGTTCCATTTGAGATCCACAAATGTCCGGAAAGCTGTAAATTTGCACTTCTCTGAAAATCCGTCCCAAAGTTTACACAAAATATCCAAAACTGAAAGATTGTCACCTGAAAAAGGATCACACTCTTCGGTAGCTGCTGAAACTACACTGATATTGATTAGTCAAATGTGTTGTTGTTCTGCTTTAATAATCCAAAAACGGTTGATATTTAAACGTGACCCGTCAGTGATTGCAGAGATTCTGCATAACGTTTTATGACCTTCTGGTATTACATGCAGCGAGGAGTAAACCTCTATAAAGTGTCAACAGTATCAGTAGATTTACTCGTCCATTTTTTGATGGATATTTAAATTTAAATTTCAAGAAATGTAATAACATTTGGTAAGTAGCGCGCATTACTTAAGAAGTCTGTTTTCTTTATGGTTTTGGCCTGAACATTACGAGGAAAGATACAAAGGTTTATGTGGTATATAACACGAAACGGTTTGTGACCTTTTTCTGAACTAATAAGAGAAGTACTAAGTAGCGATCGACCAACGAATCTTTTGTACGGAAGTTCGTAAACCAGAAAACAGTGGAATTTCATAATATTCAGTTCTTCGGGTTGTTCTGGAATTAGATACACACGATACAAACATATTATTATGCAGAATAATAAGAAGAAAGCTTCTGATATATAAAGACCATAGTTTAGAAAAATACAATTTAAACGCATATATGATTATGATAAACGTTGTCAATAGAACTCATGGACAAGTGGGTAACAACGATTACAAAATCATGTGACAAAAAAAACGAGGGAACATTGGTAGACACTTAAAATAATTCGTCAAAAGTACTACAAAACCTGACACAGTGTTGAAAGTAGAACGAAATAGGACAGCATAAATGGCAAAGGCTATAAAACATTTACTGAAAATGTTTCGACGAATAAAACAAGAATACAGGTATCATTACCAAGTTTCGATTCGATAATTTTGAATAAATTGAGCATTGGGTAGATTGTTATAAATTAATAAGTCACCAAAAGTCAGAAAACCTAATTTTCTTACTCATTGGGATATTACAAATGTATTACTTATTCATTTATTTATTTAAAACAACAATAATTGAACAAGTTATTATCAGGTTCATAAAACTGATTAATTATTCAGAGATGGTAATAATTTATATCCTCAGATAACAATGTTACATAAGGCAGGACAAAGTCGTACGTTCCACAGATGCTTTCCTTGGTATAACATGAAGTAGCTGAAAAACAGAGAGAAATGGAGGTGCAAAAAGCAGAACGGGCAGTGTTCACGACTAGTGAAGTTTAGTCATTTGTAACGATAAAACTAGGATATTACCACTTAAACTCGTTCTCTACTATTAGGTCAATTTCTAAGTAGTCATATTTAATCAGTATGGAGTTGAATGAGCAAAGTAATGTACATATGAAAGGGGTTCAAAGAAGCTAAAAGTTCAGGATTATGTGTATTTTTAAAATTTAGTAAGGAAAATAAAGTGTTCGAGTGCTAACTTGCTTGTTCTTCGTCAAGTTATTATAACTCATTTTTATTGCTATAATATTTGTAGTTATAAATAGACTCGTAACATTGTTAGTAGGCAGATGAAATCGAAAGTGAGTCACAATTTAAAAGTCACAACGTTAATGACAGCTAAAAGTGAGATATTTGCTATGGGTTTTGTAGTATCCATAGATTCTGCCGTTAAAGCACCACGCCAAGGAGTAAACATCACGTTATGTGCTTTTCATGTTTGTGAGGTGACATGTAGAAATAGCAATGATGAAAACAAGGTCGAAGCAATACATATATCGTATGTCCCGTGAGGAATCGACCGTGAGATTCAACATATATACACTGAAAATAGGGTTGAAAGGAAAATTGGCTAGTAGTTACGTAAATACTGATAGGGCACGAGGTTGCTCTGGGCATTTTGTGGAGACATCCTTTTGTCGAGTATTAACTCTAATAATTAGGCTTAGGGTGCGAATAGGCCGTTAAATCACAAGCTAAATGAATAACAGGGAATGGATGGATATGACTTAGTATCCTAGTTAAAGTTTTTAAACTTATCATGTGGTCAGTGAGTGTCTCTTGAATCTAGAATAAAGCCCACCATCTTTGGGGTTTTGGGACAGTTTCTTCACAGAGATGTGTTACTGAAAAATCTTGAGAAAACGTCCCTACCGTTCTAGTCTCCTACTGTCGGCGATGGTGTCACATGATGGTACCCCAAGTTACCTAGATAAACCCGTACTGCAATTATGTCACTGTTTTACGTGATAAACATCTTGGACTCGAAAGACTGATCACGAAATGCTGAAATATCTCATCAGAATCAGGTTTGACGGTTCCAATTGCAGGAGCTTCTCCATTTTCAGTTTGCGTTGTTATTTTACCCCTTTACCCTATCAAGTATGACTAAGATTGTTGAAGCATTATTCTTTAAATAGATTGCGGGATATCCTAGCCACCAAGTTAGATGGCATAAACTATGCGATCTTTAAAATGTTAGCTAGTTTCAACGTAAGAATATCTAAGTTAGGTGGCTAAAATACTCTAACTAATTGTACAGAATATTTGAACCAATAGTTGGTCAGTGTTGCTTAGCTCCCTTTTATTCATCATGATCAATTCCCTTCGCCTTCCATCGAAAATATGCAGAAATTAAAATAACCTGAATTCAGGACACCGTAGGATTCAATTCTAGTGTTGATATTGGTGTACTTATCCATGGCCGAGCTATACAGTCTCAGCAGTGGCAAGTGTATATTTTTCGTATTAGTTTATGTCTAAATTCAAAGTTGATTTGTGGTGATTGTTAAGTGGTATTCGATTGTCACTGAAATACCAAAAACTGTGAGTCACAGTTCTATCAACCGTAAATTCGAACTCATCATCACTGCATTTCTTTCTGTCCGTTACAATAGAATTATGCGTTTTGCACGTGAGGTTTAAGGAGCAGGTTACGGTAAAAAAAAAATGAAGAAAAATGTAGTGTTTGTATGAACTAATGATTTTTTTGTACTGCAGTTTCAGTGTACAAGTTAGTAATCGCAGTAACAGCAAATGAGTTTCAAGAGGTCTGTTGAGAGGAAAAATAGTACTTTTTCAGAACTTAGTGAATCAAGGGACAAAAACGATCAGTTGGACATTTATGGATAAAAACACCATTGAGAGCATCATGATAATTTGAACAGTGCTATTACTTAATGTCAAAAAGTGAAATAAATAGACTTATTTCAACAACAAAGAAGATCAGTGAAAAAAAGTTTACCAAGTGGTAATACGTTTACGAATTCTTTCCTCACACAATCAACATTTATACGGTTGCTTTTGCATTAATTTAAAAAGTTCTTTTCTCTCAGTTCGTCAGCCACCAGCAGTTATCCTTACATATGGATATGTGAAGTGTCATATATTTGCATATGTAATGAAGTAAAACAATATAGACTTTGGGGGGTTTAAAAAGTCATTTGTCAACCCTACTTTTGGACTAGGAAACTGATGGCGGTATTCAACGTCATAGTTGTGAGTATTAACTGAAAACAAATAGTTTGATGTTAGCTAGTCTGCGTGACATAGTGGGGAACAATTACCAGAAAAAAAGTTAGTAGGATTGTAGAGTGAAGGCCTTCCTCTCCGCAATTTTAAGCAGTTTTGAAATTCCAAGTTCTCGAAAACGACCTTAAATTGACATCTTTCGAAACTCTGATAAATAGTCCTTTGATAAACAATAGCCTGATTCCAATGGGGTAAAAAAGTAGCCTTGGTCATTTTACGGTTTGAGAATTTTTCTTCTTGTGAACAGCTAAGCCTCAGACATCGCTTCATACTATAGTACTTCAGATAGTTTCATTTAAATCCTTCAGAAGTTGCTCTCACTGTATAGTAAATAAGATTCAGAAATACTATAATCTATAAACATAAGGCTAAATAGGGTCAAATCTGGTTGATTTTGTTTACAATTATTGTAACTTTTATTCTGTTTTACCTGTTGAATATAACAAGCAACCTTGAATTGCTATGTCCAGTGTATCTGTGCTTCATTCAAAATACATGGGTTTCTTTCATAGCTGATTAATTAATGATGAAAAACAGATTTGAACCAATAACATGTCCCGTCTGCTCAAAAAACGTTTATTTTGCAGAAGAAGTAAGGGCTATGGGTCGTGCATTTCATAAACAATGTTTCAAATGCTGTAAGATTGTGGCATATGACTGACCTTCGTCCTAGGTCAATGTTCTAAAGCTCTAGACAGTTTTACTGCAAATGATCATAAGGGTTCTCTGTATTGCAAAAGTTGCTATGCGAAGAACTACGGACCAAATGTTTACGGTTTTTCAACGAATGGCACACTAATGAGAAGTACTTATGATCTTCGGTAAGTGGATTTTTTTCTCCCTATTTATGGCGACTTTTAACTTTTTAAAAGTTTTGTACAAGTGGCAAACATATTATATCACTGATAACAACCATCAATAAAACAGTTAAAGACATAATCTCCAGCTCCAAGTTTCTTCTTGAAAGTTTACTTGTTTTGTATAATGGTATACACTGATAATTCGATAATTCAGAAGATAAAACTTATTGATTTACTACGTATATTCGCACATATGTGACATTGCATCCTGCCATGACGTGAAAAAAACAATCTAAATTCAAATACTGAAATATCTTTTCAATTTATAAATGGTTTTACTCCTCTGATCTACTGCTTTCTAGACAAGACTAAATGAATTTACAAAGATGAAAACTGGTTAGCTGTAATAGCACTTTAGAGAGCCTCGAATGCAAAGATGAGCAGCTGTAAATATCGCTGTTCGCGATGTCCGTTATTGACGATGCTCAGTACATATCAAAAAGTTATATACAGTAACTACATAAATCTCTTAAAGTGATGTTATTTGTCATTCCGTAGTTTTCGGTTAAGGTATTTGTGTGCATTATTTATGAATTTTGGAATCTATGCAATTTGAAGCGAAAGTTTGTTGGTAGTGTTTTAAGTAGTTTATACAATGATTAAATGTTTTATTTCCTATTCAGAGTGATAGATTCACCAAAACTTTAGGTGGAAAAATGTTTAGTACATTTTTGAGCCTTAAAAGAAGCAGGTAAATAGAATATCTTAAGTTTCCTTAGTAATCAATCGAGAATTCCAACTTCCTTATCTTGATTTTACATCTTTTTCAGTTCTAAAAGCTAGAAAGTTAAATTCACTCAAGCACACACAAAAGCACTTGAGAAAATCTCAAAAATGGTACCTCAAACGATAGTCGGTGTCACCAAAATTGATCGTGAATAAGTTAAACTCATAATTCAAATATAGTAGAATATTATTTATAAATGTGTCTAAAACTAAAATTGCCTAAAATCCTGTCAAAGCATTAATGGGCGGCAAACATTATTGTGATAAACTAATGAGCTCTACAAACCGTTGACGACACCAATCACTGATAAGAACGGGACAAAATTGGTTCGTAGCATCTATGGTTATGTCATTTTGATAATTATGTCGTTCGAGTAGTTACCTGTAATCACAAAAAGGCTCATTTTTCTTTACTAGATGGATTATGAGGGGATGATTAGAATGTATACACAGCGTAAAAGAGAGGGTATATTGGCTGTGTTAACGGCAGTTGGAAGATCGTTTTTAAATTTACACTGAGTAAAAAATCAGCAACTGGTTTCGTCTCAAGAATAAAGACTTGGAAATATTATTTAAATGGAGAGTGATGAATACAGATATCCGATCCTCATCATCTTCATCACCCACCAATAAATACTAGTCTATGTTGTGTCGGAAAAAAATCTTTCTCCGATTAGAGAACGGGGGCATAAAAACGATTTCAAATTCGTGAATTTTTCTTTATTGAACCAAGGAACACAGGGTTATAAAAAGCAGTATTCATCCAGTAATTTTATCAAACGTCTCGCTAATTTGTTGAAAAATATTTCGATTCTACAAAAATTTTTTAGTAAAACTTACAAGCCAAAGCCTAAATAAATAATGTTAAGTAGTTCAAAGTGGTCTGTGTGAAATTTTGTTCAATTCAGGTTTCTTGTTAGTTGATATCCCTTAACAACGTGCTTTTGCAACTTCGAGTGAACTGATGCTTTAATTATAATTTTCAAATTTACTGACTTTTTTATACGTGCTTGGTTATTCAAACTGTAGGGGATAGAACAAGTTTGAGCCTAAAATGTAATGTCTAAAATTTTTAACTACTAACTTTCCATTGTATGTTAATGTGACAAAAAGGTGAAACCAATAGTTTTAGCTCATGTAGAAATGTTATATTTTAAATTGTGTTAATAATAAAATAAAATTTGCTATTTTCAAGACTTTAGACCACATGTTAAAGATTTCAATTCCTAACCAATGAGCCACGGGGTTAACCTTTATTATACTAGAATCCAGGCAGTTGAATAGTATAATCAACTCTCGTACAAAAAGGTCTCTTAATAAAGTGTAGCCAAAATTGTAGGTGTATACTATTCAGCATACATCTATCCATGTTCCATCTAAATTGGGCAAAAAATGTTCAGCTAGACAATAATTAAATGAGAATATCCAAATAGTTTTGAATTTTCAAATAATAAAAGATGTTTGTTATGTCATTGAACAAGAATGAAAACTAAGTCGGGGAATAAAATAGTTTTTTTCGATGATTTTATTTGCTTAAGCTGTACAATCGTATTTATAGTTAGTTTATCCCCTCGCAAAAGAAGTCTATAATAAAACAAAATACTGCCGAATAATGAGAAACATTTAAGTGATAGTGTGCTATAAATTGTTTGAAAATATCAGATATTAGAAGTAACTTGTGTAGTGGTCTAGATATGCAGTGCATATTTCCATCCGCCGACTACCTAGAAACGTAAGGATTGCTGATATAGGGCTAGGTTGAAAAAACACTAGAGAAGGCTAAACTAAGAAACGGCATCAGTCCACGGAAACACTGATTGTTTAATTTAGTCATGTAAGTAGATGTAGACTACTTGGTTAAAGTCTGTTTGACTATTGTAGTCGCCTTTTGGGTAGTTCAGGTAGCACAGGTCAAAATCGTTGGCATATACAATGGTTTATTCACTCCTCGTCTTCCTTTAGACCCTGATTTTCTAATTTCCCAAAAACCTCTTCATTATTTCATTAATTTACATTTTCTTCCATAATCAGGTTTTTGGTGTCTAGTTTTCGCTGTAACCATTAATAACGTAACTATCTCCACTGCTGTGTTATTTGCCATGACAATTCCATTTTGTTTCGCTAATAGGGTATAGCAACTTGGATTGATATACACATGTTTCATGTTTTATGTTTCTATTGACTGAATGACTGCAGTAATAAAAGGGATTATGAACAATTTAAAGTTGAAGATAGTTGTTCACTTGATAGATGTTAAGGACGGAAATATTAATACTGGATCATCCATTTCATTCTGATCACTCTGTTTTCCTATAATTCTCCTTTAAAATCATTCATGCAGTCAGAAGAATCAGTTTAAAAGGTACACAAATGAAAAGAAAACTAACGTTTAAGAAGGACTACAACTATCCACCGATTATGATATCTTGTGGTGAAGTAGAAATATTTGATTTAGTGATATTCATCAAAGACTGAAATCAGGTGACTAAAGTCATTGACATGAGAGCAGTGGATTATTTTTATTAATTATTTACTTGAACACATTATTATTAGTACAAAAGGGCACCAAACATATATGCAGCACACAAGTCATTTGATGTGTGTGTCAGCTGTGATACTGTCTGTATGCCCAGATCAAAGCACGTGGTTTTCTTAGGGAGCCACACCCGGAGCCTTTGACGTGAAGACTTGATCAACAAGGCAGTGGAGCAACGTCGGGACATGCAGTTCCATGGTAGCAGGTCACCATCAATTGGTTCATGCATCATTTGTCTCTTTAGGATCCTGGAGTTCATGTACACAATTGATTTGGAATGACGGTTTTTCCACTCTCCTAGGTGGATCCTCCGTGTCCATCAACCCGGTTATAACGCCGGACATTCGCTTTTCGTCTTCTCATTTTTGTATACAACACCCTCGCTACGACAAGTTAGTGAGTAAGACTTCCCTGGTAGTGGTTGTATGCACGTGTTCATGTGAGAGCATTTAGAGAGGGAGAGCTGACTCTACCCATTCTCTGCCGTACCAGGGCATTGGGGAGCGAAGTAGTACTTAGACAATACGTAAATAAGAAGATGTAAAAACAACGACGAAGCAAGTGAAAAGTTCAATTCCTGACGAATTTCAGGACTGTCCTAATCTGTATTAAAGTTTGTAAATTAATGTTTTTATAACTTACCTGCACAGTTTTTTCAGCAAAACAGTTTATATATATGTAATTATTAATGCATAAATCAGAGCAATGAACGAGGGTGGAATTCATAGGAAACTATAATTACTCATCATTTAAATGAGGTTGGTTGTCTAAATATATAACTGAATCTCTTTTTATATAACGCCCATTTTTTGTTCATTAACTAAATACCATAATATCAGAAAGGAGTTTTGTGGAGATTGTAGTAATTTCAATAGTTGAGATCATGAGTCAATTGATGTTTGAGCATCATGAAAAACCTAGAAGCACTGGAAGGCCGTTTCGTTCCATTATGAGACTCCTCAACAGCGCGCATCTATGACCCGTCTCTGCGAGATGCGAACCCACGGCCTATCGATCTCGCTCGCGAATACTTAACCCCTAGACTACTGAGCCGGTTGGTATCCAACAGTGCTAATGTTTAAGTTCAACCAATCTACGAAATTGAGCCACCGTCTACCATTGTTTGCAGTGAGTTATTATCTGACAACAAACTCGGCTGAACTCCACTGGTCATAGCTTCTCACTAAAACTCCAGAAAATACCTCCTGAACACCATCACCAGTGAGCATATGATAATTACAATCAGAAAGGGGTTTTGTGGGTCGTAGATGCACACTTCTGAGGAGTCCCATAATGAGTCGAAACGGCCGTCCAGTGCTTCCAAGTTCTCTATAGTGGTCTATGATATAAGGATATAGTACAGGAAGAAAGAGTTAGTTGGTAGAAAGAAAGATATAAAGCAATTTTAATCTCACAATTAAAGGGAAGACAACGAGTATATACACCTACAACATTGGATTCTAAGCCATGTCACCCAGAGTCTCCAACCATTGGTTACGATAGTCACACTAATATATAACCCTAGTAAGCAGATAGACGTTCCAAGATCATTTTAGCATTGCTGAAATGTCTTTCACAAATTACAGTATCATCAAAAGAATTAATCCTTCTAAAAATCTTCAAAAATTATTCCTCTATTTTAATAGAGTTTTGTTCTGTGAGTTGGATGGTTTGGTTGTAGAAGCTTTCATTGTTCGATTAGATGGTGATTGGAGGTAGTCGACAGGAAACCTCCAATCACCATCTAATCTCACAATAGTGCCCGCAGTGTCGAGTCACCTAGACTGGTGGCCACATTGCAACAAGGTCGATAGCATTCGATCAGCACTAATAATAAGGACTATACAAACATGACATTGGTCACCACACAGTGATCAATCAACTGCTTTCATTGTTCTTCTGTACAACATCATTAGCACAAATTTTAGGTAGAAGTGAAATATTCGAATTTCTACACCTATGGTTCACAGATTATTCTATAGACCTCAATGTTATGGAGATATGATATTAGAGAAATTCGAACACTTCACTTCTACTGAAAGTTTTATGCTGATGATGTTGTTCAGAAGAACAATGAAAGCTTCCACAACCAAACCATCCAACTCACAAAACAAAACTCTATTAAAATCATTCATCATAATCATCTCACTATCCCCGTCTATATAATATATCATTCTTTTGTCTCTATTTTGTTTTTTGTTACTATTCTACAGAGATTGTACTAAAATGAATGGTTATTCCTATTCGCATAGTCCAATGATAAAGTAAGTCTTTGATTGTCTTAATCTTTGAACTCTGAACTATTCGTCGTCGTCTTCTTCTTCTTCTTCTTTTTCTTCTTCTAATAAATATAGTCAATCACAAGATCGTTTAACTAATTTAGAACATAGTGGAAATTATATTCCACGTCCTTTTCGTACAAGATGGTCTAGTGGAAATTGTAATTCAACACGTTGTGCAAATTGTTCAGATATTGTTTATGCTAATGAAAGAATAGATATAGTTGGTAAAGTATTTCATCGTTTATGTTTTAAATGTAATGATTGTCAACGTCTTCTTGATCGTGGTACTGCATGTGATCATAATCGTGAAGTATTTTGTCATAGTAAGTTCATAGTTTATTGTGGTTCATTTTGATAACAATTATTTGTTTGATAAGATTATAATTCATAACCTTATACAGATAATTACCATATGCTCACTAGTGACTAGCTTGGTGAGCAAATTCTAGTAAGAAGCCGTGACCGTTGGAGTTAATCTGTGTTGGGTAGAGACAGGTATCTACTTCAGTATCATGGAAGTTGGTCGTGTAATCTTGAAGACTAGTTGAAGATGGACATTAACACCGTTGGATTCTAGCCGGCTCAGTAGTTCAGAGATTAAGTGTTCACGTGTGAAACTGGAGGTCCTGGGTTCGCACTTTTGAGGTGTCCCACAATGGGACAAAACAGCCATCCAGTGCTTCCAGGTTTTCAATGGTGGTCTAACATCAATCGGTTCATAGTCTCAACCAAAAACTTAACAATGTCCACAACTCTGAACTAATCTTTCTTATTTAAGTATTAGTCAATCAGAAAACAGTCTGTATGAAGTCAAAATATATAATACAAAGCCAAAGAAATGAAGTGAATACACTTTTTTTACGTGGTTCAAAAACTTGTCTAAAGTCGTAATGCATACGGTAGAGGAACTCATCTATATGGCTCGATAATAGTCGGCATCTGGTGGCATGATAAGATCTCAAAAATTCTATCAGCCTCGACTACATACCTTCAATATTGTTTGTGTTCACTTCGGTTATTAGATCCACAAAATGTCACTTGTGGATAACGACATGATGCACATAATCAAGTCTATGTAGGCATCTGTACACTCTCTAATCATCCGTATACATTGTAATACCCGGCTGCAACCAATGTTACTGGTGCTATTATTATCCAGTTCGCAATTTGCCTTAGTCTCAATCTGAATCGAGTGAAAAAACTATTCTAGAAGACTTCTTCCCCCTCGAAAGACAACATTATCACAGTAGTTTGCACAAGTCATGTGATTACCAGAATTACATGTAAAGGAAGTTCTTAGTATTATCATTTGTTGTAGTTGCTCAGTTATCACTTTTTTTCTAAAATCTTCTGTGGACCGATCGTACGTGAACATCAGGTACTGAAATGGGCGCTTAGACCTTGAAATCCCTCAAACGCTTCTGATTGGCTCGTTCATAAAATATAGTCTTACTGGAATTAAAAGCAAACATCAAATAGATGAATAGCAACTGGATACAACTGGAAAGTATTGTTCAGAACAGAGTTGAATGGAGAATGCTGATGGGTGGCCTTATACTCTATCACGAGAGGTAACAAGCATAAGCAGGTATGTAGGTAAGCTTAGAATAGATTCTTTTATGCGTGGTATAGTTTTGGAACAATGGTTATGCTTGTTACTTTTCGTGATGGAGTATAGGCTGTCCATCAGCATTGTCCATCCAACTCTGTTCTGAACGATACTTTCCAGTTATATCCATTTGCCATTCATTCATTTGATGTTTGCTTTTAATTCCCGAGGTAGTGTGTTCTTTGGCTTTCTTCTTTTCGGTTTCTCCTCAGGATTTCAAGTTAGGATTAGCCTGGTGATGCAGTTTGATTGTACATAGTAATTAAGCTAATACAAACTGATTAATAAAGAGTCTACATTAGAGCGCCATTAATAACCTGGAAGCACTGGATGTCTGTTTTGAATCATGTGTTCAGGATCATGGATATACACTGCTGAGTAATCTTATACTAAGATAAGACGTCCATTCAGTGCTTCCAGGTTTTCAATAGTGCTCTAACATTGATCGATTTATGATCTCAATCAAACGTGTGATATATATTCACATTTGTAAAGTATAGTATTGCTTCAATTTACAGTAAATCATAGAAACGTATACACATTTACATTTTAATGTCACGTACTGCTAATGATATAATTAAAATTGTTAGGAGTGTAGAAATGAGCCAATCAGAATGGAATAAAAAGTCTTGCGCGAAATTCAAAAAGGAAGAACTTTTATTTCATATAATGGAAAGAGTTGAGTTACTTAGTTACGCCTGTTACTCTTAATGGAGTATAGGCTGCCAACGATCAGCATTATCTAACCTACTCTGTCCTGTGCCTTCCTTTCTAATTCTATCCAATTGTTGTTCATTCTTATCATGTCTGTCTCTATTTCTCGGCGTAATGTGTTCCTTCGTCTTTCTCTTCTTCTTTGGGTTTGAGGATTTCGCTTGGAGACTCTCTGGGGTAACTCCCGCTCCTAAGCACGGACAAAGCAGGAGGGTTGGGTATGGGATCATTAAATCGCTAAAAATTGCTAATAAGAAAAAATAATTCAAACCACTTAAACTCTGCTTTAGAAGTTAGAAGCTCTTCATTTAGAAGAGTTACGGCGTCTTATGGTGCAAATTGAGTTCCTTTGGAAGTCAAAAGGTTGATGTCCCTTCTGATAACTACAGCAACCATCAATTTATGTACAATGTGGAAGACCGAGAAAGTCATCCAAACTGCTTCAAAAATGAAACGACACAACCTGGAGGTGCTTGAAATCAATGAAACACACTGGACGTAGGTTGAACATCAAAGACTAGTTTCAGAAGAGCTGTTGTTATTCTCCGATCATGAAGTAAGGAATGATTCACATACACAACAAGTTTCACTGATCCTATTCAAACAATCACAAACCATTTTGATGAAGTTTTGTTCTCTGATCTGGATGGTTTGATTGTAGAGCTTTTATCGTTCTTGTAAATAACAACATCATCAGTAACAGCAGTAGCACAAACTTCAAGTAGAAGTAGAAATAGAAGCATAAACAATCCCTACAATCTTATACTCCAGTCAGTCAGTCAGTTAAAACGTAAAACTTCGTACGTACATACATCAGTTCAAGTTGCCATACCACATTAGCACACACATACAATTGTCGATTCAAATCCCATACTGGTAGAGGTAGTAAGAGTATAAACAGTAATCAGAAAGATTAGTTTTGAGATGTTATTCAAGGAGTATAATACAGTGAAATAAATTTGAAAAGAGAAAAAAGAAAAGGGTATGAAGAATTCAGGAGATTAGAATTTGGGAGAACGTAAAGAGTGAATTCACTTGCACAATTGCAAACGATTTTGAGCCATGTCATTCAAGGTCTCTAACCATCGGTCGGTATCGTTTCGCGGATACCAACCAGGTAGTCTACACTCACCAACATGGCTGTCTACTTGTCAGTGACTTCATGGATTTGTACCATTTTTGGGTTCGGTTGCCCCTACCTTTTTTTCAACCTACTCGTACACCATAAAACATCGCACGTCGGGTCAATCGGTAAATGGACATACGCAACACGTGTCGCAGCCATTTCAACTGATGAAGTTTCACGACTTCATCAATTGATTTGTCATCCTTACCTAGTACCTGTTTCCTAACAACTGCGTTACTTACTCGACAGTCACAGGATATACGCTTAATGCTTCTGAGACACCGATAATCGAATACTAGTAATCTAGGTATATCCTCTTCTCTTACCTGTCATGTTTCACAACCATAAAGTAGGATGAAACCTACTACTCTACAGTAAACTTGTCCTTTTAATTAGTACTAGACGAATATCTTGCCTACACTATAAATGACACAAATTGACAAAAGCTAGTCGAGCCTTCTGTATCCCAGTTGAGATATCATCACACAGACCTATCTCCACATGATCAATCAAATAATTAACTTAATACTAATAAATTAAATATCAGTAATATATTCTATTCAATGATAATTTATGTACATAATTGTTTTATTTATCATAAATAGAATAATATTTTTCTTATCTCATGTGATTAACCTTTTGTTTTAATGGACTTAAGGTTATCAAAATGGATATAGAACATCATACAATGGGGTATCATTGTATCTATAGTAAACATTGGTAATTGCTAATGAGGTGTAGATGAATTCGAATATACCATATGTATATGTATATATGGATATATATATAGATTGTTTTCATAGTAAAGTTGATTATTGTCTTTCTAGAACTAATGAATTCGACCGATATATATATATATATATGTAATTCATGCATATATGTCACGTAGGTTAATATAGATATATATATATGTAACTGCACCTATTGCATAATACTATTACATTATGTCATTGTAATGGGTATATGAAACAGATGTTTATGAGTTGATTCGAGCTAAACGATTATATAAAAAACTTGGAAACACTGAATGACTCGTTTGTTCATCCATGACCTTGTGCATGAGATTCGAACCCAGAACCTTCAGTCTCATGTTTGAACGTTTGACCTCTAGACCACTGAGAAGGTATTCAACGGTGTTGATGTCTAATTTTCATCGATTCATAAATAGTGGTTTCGTCTTATTGTGGGACTCCTCAGAAGTGCGTATCCATGATCCATCTCCGCGAGATTCCAACTTAGGACCTATCAGTCTTGTGCGCGAACGCTTTATCTCTAGACTACTGAGTCGGCCGGTATCAAACGGTGTTAATGTTGAACTTCAACTAATCCAAGAAATTGAGCTACCGTCTAACATTGTCTTTAGTGAATTATTATCTCACAACATACCTGGTTGAACATCACTAATCACTGCTTCTCACTAGAACTTCAGAAAATACCTCTTGGAGACCGAAACCAATAAGCATACATTGATTATTATGAGAAGGGGTATTGTAGAGATTTTAGTAATTTTATAGTTAAATTCATGAGTCGATTGAAGCTAGACAACCATGTAAAACATGGAAACACTGAACGGCAGTTTCATTCTAGTATGGAACTCTTCAGTACTGTGCAATCAGTCTTCGAACACAGAACCTTTGGTCTCGCTTCAGAGCGCTTAACCCATATGCAACCATGTTAATATCTAACTTCAAGCAATCCAAAAAATGGCTTTATTGTGTACTAATGCCTTTAGTGAGTTACTATCTCACAACAAACACAGTTGAACTTCACTGGTCATAACTTCTCATTCAGAAAATAGAGAAATTATTTTTTGATTGAGACTTTGAACCGATGGACGTTAGACCATAATTGTAAACCTGGAAACACTGGACAGCTGTTTCGCCCTATTGTGGGATCCCTAAGCAGTGGAGCTAATACCGTGTCGGGTAGAGTCAAATATTTAATTCAGTACAATAAAAGATGATCGCAAAATTTCGTGGATTGGTTGAATCCCAGTTCGGTGGTTTAGAGGTTAACTGTTCTCTCACGCGACTGATAAGTCCTGGTTCCGAATCTCGTGAGGATGGATATTGGATTTGCACTGCTGAGGAGTCCCACAACAGAACAAAACGACCATCCAGTGCTTTCAGGTTTTCTATGGTGATCTAACTTCAATTGACTCATGATCACAAAAACTCCTTCTAATCAATAATCTATGAATTTGAAATACTGAGATTTAACTCAATATATTCAAAAGACTATCACAATTATCTCATGAACTTCAACTTCAACAATCCATCATTTTACAACACAGGTGATTGATATCAACAGTCAACAGATATGATGGTTTTGGTTTCATGTTACCTTATTCTAACTCAGTAAGATAATACCCAATATCTTCCATTGACTTAGAGGATGCTTGAACATACGTACTGTATGAGGAGTGAATGTGAACATCAATGAGGACAATCTAATGTATTTCAACACAGAATTACAAAACCTCTTCGTAAAATCTAAGAACCATACAGTAAAATATACATCATTTGTAGAATGTCAATCAATTGTCTTAGACTTCATTGTTTCTTCATTTCCACAGCAATCATTCTCTGACCTCCTTCTCTTCTCTTTAATCTTTTTAATCATCTGCCTCCAAACATTTCACATTCAATTACTGATATACATACTACTTATATCTATCAACATCAGTAGTACACACTGTATATACTCCGATTACCTTAATCAACATTAATTCAGTCATCTCAATTTTCATCAATCTAAACAAAACAACAACAATTATGTTTATCACATTTATCAAAGATAAGTAATCTCTATTGAATAGTTGTATTGAATTAAGGTCATACGCCCTGAAATAGTTCATGGGTGGATCTGATATTATTATTATTATTATAATACTTGTAAACCATGTAATTCGATCTCCCTCTTCTCTTTCTCTCTGTCTCTCTCTCTCTCTGTCTCTCATCTTCATTCAATGAAGATTATCGAAACAATCACTTGTATCCATGATAATCCTCCTAGTGATTATTATGTCATATAAAATATACATAAATGAAATATGAGATTAATCTTTTTATTAGAGAATATTAGAAGTTAGTTATTTGAGGTATAATAGATTTTGATTGATAAACATATGGAATTCAAAACAACTGTCTGTCAACCAATATCAAAGTCACAATCTTCAATACGAACGTCAAGACAGTCAGTTCTACTGCACGGAGCTGAAACGTGGAGAACTACAACAACAACCATCAAGAAGGTACGAAAGATACTCAACATCCATTGGCCGGATACCATCAGTAACAGCCTACCATGGGAGAGAACCAACCAGATTCCAGATAAGGAGGAAATTATAAAAAGACGATGAGAATGGATAGGACATACATTGAGGAAATCATCAAACTGCATTACGAGACAAGCGCTAACTTGGAATCCTGAATGGAAGAGGAAAAGTGGAAGGCCAAAGAACACATTACGTTGGGAAATAGAAGCGGATATGAAAGGGATGAATAAGAACTGGAAAGAGCTGGAAAGGATTGTCCAGCACAGGTTTGGATGGCGAATGCTGGTAAGCGGCCTATGCTCCTTCACGAGGAGTAACAGGCGTAAGTAAGTAAGTTAGTAAGTAAGTAGATTTTGATTCTAGTTCATGCTACTGATATCAATAAATATAAGTAGTATGTGTATCAGTAATCGAAAATGGAATGTTTAGCAATAGAAGGTTAGAAAATATCGAAGTGAAGAGAACGAGAACAAAGAATAATTGAGGTGGAAACTAAGTAACAATGAAGTCTTGGATAATTGATGAGTACTTTACAAATGGAGTATTAACTTTATGGTTCTCAGATTTGATTAAGATGTTCTGTAATGTTGCATTCAAATATATTCGATTTTTTCCCTTTTGTGTTCTCATCCACTATAATTACCCCAAATATAAGTATGAATATTGGCTAGCAGTGAAATTGGGCAGACCCATTTCGATCCTTTTTGGATCTGTCAGCTGCATATACCTTCATTCCAATAGTCAATGCTCACTATGGGACTCGAACCAGCTATCTTCACTATCAAGTAACCCGTTCTCGAGCTTATCTGATGGAATAAATTTTATGATCGAAATTCAGTCCTTAACATGAATAATGACATTCGTTGTAGATATTAGTATAGTAAATCATATTGTGGTATGTGCTACTGATGTCGACATATATTAGTAGTATGTGTATCATCAATCGAAAATGATGAAATGCTTGGAGTCAGATGGTTAAGCAGATCGAAGAAAACAGAATGACAACAGAGAATGAAAACGAAGAAACAATGAGTCCTGAGATAAGTGATTGACATTTTGTAAATGAAGTATATTTTACTGTATGGTTGTTAGATTTTACAAAGGGATTCTGTATTGTTGTATTCAACTACATTTAGTTGTCACTCATTGTGTTCTCATTCACTACAGTATCAGTAGTAGGAATCTAATCTAACATTGATTGTTTCCAACGCTCCAATCTTAAATCTCTGTACTTTAATCAAAAATTCTTTTATATTTCTCATCTTTTCGTATTCATTCAAGGTTTAAACATCAAAGATCTGAGGAATTTGGATTTCGACCAAGAAGTAGTCAGATTATGAAGTTGACTAATACTGATTGTACTACGACAATTTCCTCAAGATTACAGATAGGTATTGATGACGAATGCTTGAACAAAATCTAGGTCCAGAGTTTCCTACCAACTACTCACTTAATATTCCTTGCTTGTATCTTACCATTTTTGTTAAGAACTACGTTTGATCAGTCTCTTGTTGGCGTATGTGCATCCTATATGGACTGCCTCGATATTGTCTTACGTTACAAGCTCTACAAGTAAAGATGAATGATGTCTAGCGGTGGAATTCAGGACGCACATTTGATCCTACTTGGCATTCGTCAACTGAATGTGCATATGCCATTAAGAGAGAGACTAATCAATTGCAGTTGTAAACATTAATTGAAAGATTCAAGTAAATATTACTAAGTTAATTTAAACTTCAACTCATCGCGGATTGGTTAAGGTTAGACATTAACACCATTGGATGCCGGCTCAATGATCCAGTAGGTTAAGTGTTCGCGCGCAAGACTGAAGGTCCTGGATTCTAGTCTCGCGAGCGGGATCGTAGATATGCACTTCTGAGGAGTTTCACAGTAGGACAAAACGGTCTTTCAATGATTCTAAGTTTTCAATAGTAGTCTAACATTAATCGGTTTATAATCTCAACTCATCATATAAACAAGTAGTTATCAGAACTCAATAAGTAAGTGAATAACACGATAGCCTTTAAAGTGAATGGTATTAAGTTCGAATCCTAAAATGAACCTAAATTCTAAGTTACAGGTATAGACAACTGATGAATTTTGAATAGGATGAAACAATCTTCTTTAATTTTCATTATTAATCATTATACTTAATGATATATCTGTTTTATTTCTAATTTATAGATTGTTATATTAAAAATTTTGGTTCTAAAGGATTAAAAGCTGGTACAAATCTACGTTGTGCTTAAATAACTTTGTTTATTCAATGAAATTATTTAAAATCTATTGTATTACTATTATTATTACTAATATTATTTTCCTTTCAATTCATAAGTATGATATATATATATATATATATCTATATACTACTGAAATATTCATATTCAATAGTTATTATTGAAAAGTTTTTCATAATTTATTTTGCTCAATCAATTTTTTACATTCGTTTATTTTAAACAAAAAATCAATAACCAATCAAATCAATAAATAAACAAATCAATAAACGAACGAACAAATCAATACATAAACAAAAAATCAATAACCAATCAAATCAATAAATAAACAAATCAACAAACAAACAAATCAATAAATAACCAAAAAATCAATAAAAATCAATAAATAACCAAATCAATAAACGAGCGAACAAATCAATAAATAAACAAAAAATCAATAAACAGACGAGCAAATCAATAAATAAACAAACAAACAAATCAATAAATAACCAAAAAATCAATAAACATCAATAAATAAACAAATCAATAAACGAACGAACAAATTTATAAATAAACAAATCAATAACTCTACCAATCAACAAACAAACAAATCAATAAATAACCAAAAAATCAATAAACAGACAAGTAAATCAACAAATGAACAAATCGATAGACGAACAAATCAATAAATAAACAAATCAATAACTAAACCAGTCAATAAACAAACAAATCAATAAATAAATCGATAGACGAACAAATCAATAAATAATCAAATCAATAAATAGCCAAGAAATCAATAAACAGACGAGTAAATCAATCAATAAATAAATCGATAGACGAGCAAATTAATAAATAAACAAATAATCAAATTCATAACTAAACGAACAAATCAATAAACCAGCAACCAGATCAATTAATAAAAAAATCAATAAAAAAAAATTTTTTTTTCACTATTCAAATCCCATTTGACATATCATGGATATCTTATTTTGTATGTTGTTGTTGTTGTTGTTGTTATGGTTGTTGTTTATATTTTGTTATCCTTAAACTATTCAAACTCTATGGAAACATTCAAATGGATGGTGGTTTTCTTTATTTTCTTCTTTTTTTTTCATTGTTTTGTTAGAAAAAGAAAAGAACAAAATTACCAATGCATTTTGATTATTGTTTTTCTTGATGTACTTTTTCTTCTCTTTTTTTTGTTTTTTGTCAGTTAGTTGTTCGTTTGTTTGTTTTGTTGTTGTTGTTGTTGGTGGTGGTGGTGGTGTTGATGTTGTTGTTGTTGTCGTCGTCGTCATCGTCGCCATCGTAATTGCTGCTTGTTTTAATACCATTGAATATCTATCCACTATTATCATTATTATTATTATTATTGTTATTATTACTCATAACTATTATAAGTAGTATTACTATTCATGATTTTTGTGAATAATGTAATTGATAGAAGTTGGTGTTTGTTTGTTGTTGTTCTTGTTCTTGTTCTTGTTCTTGTTCGTGGGGGTGCTGGGGGGGGGAAAGGTCAAGATTATATTTATAATATCTTATAGTTCATAATGAATGTTTTCAATTTTCTATTATTTATATTTCAATCTAATATTAGAGTTATTGTTTTAAAATACTTAATTAAGTAATATAAGTTGTATTAAAGATTATTTCAATGCACTTGATGTTGTTGAATTTTGATTTTGTTTTAAGCTAAATGGTTTTGATGATTATTATTATCACCAGGATCTACTTCATAGTCCGTCGATTAGTCAGTTAACAGCGTAGAACTTCGTATGTACGTACGTATATCAATTCGAGTTGCCATATCACAGTAGTACAGAGATGCAATTGTCTATTGAAATCCCATAGTGGTAAAGGTAGTAAAAGTATAAGGAGTAATCGAAATGATCAGGCTTTGATGATGTTATTTATGGAGTATAATCCAGTGAAATAAATTTAGAAAGAGAAAAAAGTAAGGGACATGAAGAATTCAGAAGATTAGAATTTGGGAGAACACAAAAACTGGATGCACCTACGTCATTACAAACGATTTTGAGTCATGTCATTCAAGATTTCTAATCATCGGTCGTCATTGTCTCGCAGATCCAAACCAGGTAGTTAGTCTACACCTACCAACAGATCTCAGTCCACTTGTCATTGACTTCATGAATTTGTGTCATGTTTTTGTCTGGCCGTCCCTAACATTCTTCCAACCTACTCCTACACCATAAAAAATCTTTTGTCGGCAGCAGTTGATGATTGAGCATACGTAACATATGTCCCAGAGTGAACATCAACTTTGAGATGCAGGTATATCCAAATGATAAGTGTCAAATAGTACGAAACGCGTGTCCTGGATTACACTGCTGGCTATTATCCATCTTCGCTAATAATGTTTGAGATTACAAGTTAAATAACAATACCTTAATAAAACGGTTCCTTATTCGTGTGTTAACAGTTATCTTATAGATGTATAACATAGAATGATAAGTTGTTTATAGAATATATTGGGATTTTACTACTTAAATGACTCATATCAAGAAATATTTGTATAACATTCTAAGGTAATAATAACTAGAATATTTAGCGAATTATCTCATACAGATGACAACAACTAGTGTAGCACTAACCTTTGCATCAGTAGATCTCAACATATACAAGGGGAAAAGTACCATGCTGAAATACAATACGGACAGCATCAACCCAATTACAGTTGATGGGGAAACTCGGGAAGAGTTGAAAACGTTCACGTACTTGGACAGCATAATCGATGAACATGAAGGATCAGATGCAAAGTAATGGGGGTATTCCTACAATTGAAGAACTCAAAACAACTGTCAACCAATGATAAAGTTACAAACTTCAATACAAATGTTAACACAGTCCTACTGTATGGAGCTGACATTTTGAAAACTAATACAACCATCATCAAGAAAGTACAAGTATTTATAAATAGCTGTCTACGCAAGATACTCAATGTTCGTTGACTGGATACCATCAGCAACAACCTACTGTGGGAGAGAACAAAATAGTTTCTAGTTGAAGAGAAAATTAGGAAAAGATTTTGAAAGTGAATAGAACATACATTGAACGAAACATAAAACTGAATCGTAAATCAAACTATAACTTGAAATCCTAAACGGAAACGAAAAAAAGGAAGAGCAAACAACACACTATGTCGGGAATTGGAAGCACACATCAAATGGATGAATAGTAACTAGATGCAATTCAAAAAGATTGCCAAGTACAGGTTTGCATGGAGAGTTCTAGTGTTCAACTTATGCTCCTCCACGAGGAGTGACAGGCATAAGCAAGTAAGTAATTACTTAATTGCTCACGTCTGTTACTCCCAATGGTGCATAGGCCGCTGACCAGCATTCTACAACCCACTCTGTCCCACTCTGCCTTCTTTTCTAGTTCCATCCAATTCTTGTTCATTTTTCTCATGTCTATCTCTCTTTTCCGGCGTAATGTTTTCTTTGGTCTTCCTCTCCTCCTTCAACCTTGAGGATTCCATATGAGAACTTGTCTTGTGATGCAGTTCAGTGTTTGCCTCAATATGTGTCCTATCCACTTCCAGTGCTTCTTCCTGATTTGTACCTTCACTGGGATCTAATTTGTTCTCTCCTATAGTAGGTTGTTGCTGATAGTGTCCGGCCAACGGATTCGAAGTATTTTGCGTCGACAACTGTTAATAAACACCTGTATCTTCTGGATGATAACCTACGTAGTTCTCCAAGTTTATGCCGCATACAGTAGAACTGTCTTAACATTTGTATTAAAAATTCTGACTTTGGTGTTGATTGAAAGACAGTTGTTTTGAGTTTCAGATGTTCTCGAATTGTAAATATGCTGCTCTTGCTTTGCCAATCTGTGCCTTCACATCTGCATCAGATTCACCGTGTTCATCAAGTAAGTAATTGAAGTTGATTAAATCCTATTGAACATCTGATGAAGTTTTGTAATCTAACTTTTAAAATACACAGTTTCCCTTAACTCCATCAAGTGTTTATGTACCATACAATTTTCAACTTTCATTAGTGTCTAAGGTGTTTCTCATTTTATTGATTTATTGATGTTTTCAATAAGGTACTTTCCCTCCCCCCCCCCACCAACCGACTCTGTAAATATTGATAGATTACGTAATATTGTAGTATCTAGTACTATGTCAAACCCATATAGGTTATTTTAATCAATTTTGTTCAAGTCATATTCTAACTTTATCACTTATTGTCTTATTAACCGTGTTAATTAATTACCCTATTCATTAAATGTCCGTAACTCATTTTCCCCTAACTATAAATATCGATACAAGTAAGGATCAAAACGAGTTGGCTTATTCACTGTCTCCACTGTGCATCGTTTCGTTACCCTAATTATCTGTCCAAGTCAGTGAATATACGTATTCATACTTTATTCTCGTATTTGGCTTATTGAATTCCTCTATGAACAACCTTTGAACAACTCCAGATTGACATTGACAGTATCCATCTAGTAAATAGGATCAAAATGAGGATTATAAACCTGTGTGAGGAATTCCAATGATGATGACTTACACTTAAGAATTACATTTAAAGTTTTCATTACGAACTGATATCAGTTATAATGTCAAAAGTCTATTTATCCAAATGAATGTGTGAATTTCGCGCCAAATTCTAAGATCTGTTATCTTATACTTGATTGGTTCACTCATAAATTATAGTCTCATCCTCCTCGTATTCACTAATGTGGCCGGTCTAATTAGAGTTCGATAAAGGACCATTATATTATATTTTGTTGTTAAACTTTGTCGTTTCATTATATCATCCAAATACTGTGCTTATACTGTAGGTTATTAAGAATAAATCATAGTTATTTCAATCATACATTTCACATCCATCGGTTCATATTTACACATATACAGATTTCATATCCAATATTTTAACGTGAATGAATAATTGTCCAGCATATGATTGTTTTTATTCCAAGTAAGGACCGGAGTAAGACAAGGCTGTCTACTCTCTCCCTTCCTCTTTCTTCTGGTGGTCGACTGGATTATGAAGACCTCGACATCTGAGAGAAACTACGGCATACGATGGACAGCTGAGAACCAATTAGACGACTTGGACTTCGCAGATGACCTAGCCCTCCTATCACATACACACGAACAAATGCAGATAAAGACAGCCAGCATAGCAGCAGTCTCTGCATCAGTAGGCCTCAACATACACAAAGGGAAAACCAAGGTCCTCAAACACAACACGGAGAACAGCAATCCAATCACTCTTGATGGCGAAACTCTGGAAGACGTGGAATCCTTCACATACCTGGGAAGCATCGTCGATAAACAAAGAGGTTCAGATGCAGACGTCAAGGCGAGGATTGGCAAAGCTAGAGCGGCATTCCTTCAACTGAAGAACATATGGAACTCAAAACAACTTTCAACCAATATCAAAGTCACAATCTTCAATACGAACGTCAAGACAGTCAGTTCTACTGTACGGAGCTGAAACTTGGAGAACTACAACAACCACCATCAAGAAGGTACAGGTATTTATTAATAGCTGTCTACGCATGATACTCAACATCCATTGGCCGGATACCATCAGTAACAGCCTACCATGGGAGAGAACCAACCAGCTTCCAGCTGAAGAGGAAATTAGGAAAAGACGATGGAAATGGATAGGACATACATTACGCAAATCATCAAACTGCACTACGAGACAAGCGCTAACTTGGAATCCTGAAGGGAAGCAGAAAAGAGGAAGGCCAAAGAACACATTACGTCGGGAAATAGAATCAGATATGAAAAAGATGAATAAGAACTGGAAAGAGCTTGAAAGGATTGCCCAGGACAGGGTTGGATGGCGAATGCTGGTGAGCGGCCTATGCTCTTTCACGAGGAGTAACAGGCGTAAGTAAGTAAGTATATGATTGTTTTAATAGATGAAATCATGATTCAATTGAAAGTAGATCATAATGGATAATCTAGAAATACTATACGACTGTTTCGTCCTATTGTGGTACTCTTCAGTGGAAAAGAGCATCTACTATCCCGTCTCACGAGCTTCGAACTCAGAATCCAAAACGCCTAATTATTAAACCACTAAACTGATCAGCATCCAACTTCTATCTGAAGTTTGTGCTGTTGATTTCGTTTAGAAGAACAATGAAAGCTCTACGACTAAATCATCCAGCTCAGAGAACAAAACTTCATCAAAAACATTCAACAAATGTTAACCTTTAACTTCAACTAATTCACAATAATTATTTAATGAATCCATTCATAAACTAACCTAAATCAGAATATCTAATGTAATGTTGAAGTGATTGTTTCCAACCTTTAAGATTTTACATTAATCTAACATTCTTGTCCAAGTCTAAAGTCATTCACTAATCAACCATTCTATGAATCATTCATTCATTCTCTTTTTCCTATGAAATCAACTACATTAGTAAACTATACTCATCATTAACCTTTATGTGTACCTTCCAATCATTCATCAATCGAATAGACTAGATGGAAACCAAAAAAAAAAAAAAAACAAAAAACAAACTATACAGGATAAATCCTATCGGTTACTTTGGTAACCGGAATGCATCAATACTTTTTAAATATTGATTATCATTATTTATTATTATTTTCTTTTTTTTTTCTTTTTGATGTTCAACAACCCAAAATAACAGTTATACTCAGTAGAGAGATGAAGGAATTAGATTACCATATACCTGGTGAATTTTCTAATAATCTTACTAATATTGTAATATGTACTACTGATATCAATAGATATAAGTAGTATGTATAATCATCAATTAAAAGTGAAATGCTTAACGTTAATAGATTAAGTAGAGAATGAGAACAAAGATTGATTAGTGTAGAAATGAAAGAACAATGAAGTATTCACTATATAGTTTTCAGATTTGACTAAAGGATTCAGTAATGTTGTTGGGTTCGAATCTCGCAGGGGGTGAGGTCGTGGATGAGCATTGCTGAAGAGTGCCATAATAAGACGAAACGGCCGTCCAGTGCTTCCAGGTTTCTCATGGTGGTCTAGCTTCAACTGACTCATAATCTTAATCATTGAAATTACTACAATCTCTACAAAACCCCTTCTGATAGTGTTTAAATACATTCAGTTGTCGCCTTTTGTGTTCTAGTTTAGTACAATTATCTCAAACATATCTCATAAATATAAGTATGAATATTGTCTAGTACTGAAATTAGGTACATCCATCTCAATCGCTTTTGTATCCATCAGCTGGATATATCTGCATCGCGATAGTCAATGCTCACTATGGGACTCGAACCTATTATCTTTACTATCAAGCGATCCGTTCTCTAGTTTATCTAAGGGAACAAATTTGCTGACCGAAATCCAATCCTTAATATCTACAATGACATTAGTTGAAGGTGTCAGTATAGGTACTCATATTGTGGTATATGGTATTGATATCGACTAATATAAGTAGTATGTGTATCATCAATCAAAGGTGAAATACCTAGTGGCACAATGTTAACAAAATCGAAGAAATGAGAACGAAAACAGAGAGTGATTTGTGTGGAAACAAAAGATGATTGATTGACATTATGTCAATAAAGTATTTACATTATTGCTCTCAGATTTCAGTAAAGGATTCTGTAATTTGTAGAAGTACATTTGGTTGTACACTTTTAGCAACAACCTACTGTGGTAGAGAACAAATCAGATCCCAGTGGAGGAAGAAATCAGGAAGAAGCACTGGAAGTGGATAGCACACACATTGAGGCAAACACTGAACTGCATCACAAGACAAGTTCTCATATGGAATCCTCAAGGTTGAAGGAGGAGAGGAAGATCAAAGAAAACATTACGCCAGGAAATGGAGATAGACATGAGAAAAATGAACAAGAAATGTATAGAACTAGAAAAGAAGGCAGAGTGGGACAGAGTGGATTGGCGAATGCTGGTCGGCGACCTATGCTCAATGAGGAGCAACAGGCGTAAGTAAGTAAGTAAGTACATTTGATTGTTCCCTACTGATATTCTCATTCACTACAATCTTAATTATCATATCAATATTCAACCAGACATAAAACTATAAAAAGGAAACAATGATCAATATCTCATCATAAATGACATCAGTTAATTAATTATGTAACATCAGAAAAGGTTACTTATCTGTTTTGTCCTCAATCTAAGAAATGAGAACTTTTTATCTTTATTCACATTATGACATCGGTATTGGTTGTTATGTTAAAAAAAAGTATTATATTGCTTGACTTGCATTAGTTCCTATGTGTTGGAACAGTTCGTCCACCCCTTCCCCCTGCCCCCTGTCCCCTATCCCCCCTCTCTCTCTTTCCATCTGTTTCTCTCTCCCTCTCTAGTACCATTATTGATTAGCTCACTTATATTGTTAGGTGGTATAAGTTATCAGTTTATAAATCGACCAAACAAGAATTTAAAACTTATTTTGTTCTTGATTACCTTCTTACTAAATTGACAATTAGAAGAAAGAGATAGAAATCAGATGACAGTGGTTAATTCAGTCATGATTCACGACACTAGTTGTCTTCACCTGTATTTTTTGAAGTAAATGGGATAGAAGTGCTAGCTAGATGATCTGCAAAGTCTTAATCGTCTAATTGGTTGTAAGCTGTCTATTGTATGCTCTGTTTTCCTTCATATGTCGAGATCTTCATAATCCAGTCGATCACCAGAAGAAAGAGAAAGGGAGAGACTAGACAGCCTTGTCTGACTCCGGTCCTTACTTGGAATGCATCTGTCAACTGTCCTTCATGCAATACTTTGTACTGTAGTCCGTCGTATGAGTTCCGGATAATGTTGACAATCTTGTCAGGAACTTTATAATGTCAAAGAAGTTTCCATAATCTTCTCTTATCTACACTGTCAAATACTTTTTCATAATCAATGAAGTTGATGTATAATGACAAGTTTCATTCAATTGATTGTTTGACGATGATCCGTAGTGTCACAATTTAGTCTATACACGACCAATCTTTATGGAATCCAGCTTATTGATCTCAAAATTAGGGCGTCTACTGAGTTTTTCTTTCCATACCATACTAATCACAAAACAGAACTTCACCAATATCATTCAATTGAACTACAAATCTTTTCCATCAATTCAAATCTATTGTCAATCAACCTGTCATTATCTAACTTTCAACCTCTAATCATAACTATTGTAATGATCATCTTGATTATTCAATAGGACATTCATCAATAAAGGACAAACTTGATATGAAAGGATTATCCAAATCTAAGTGTTGGTTTTATGCTAATGATGAATGAATGAATGAATGAATGAATGAATGAATGAATGAAATTGTAATAATCCATTATTCATGTGATATAAAAGTACATAAGTTATTAGATGCATTAAAATGCATTAACTAACATGTATCATACAATTTGTTTTTCCATTGTTTCTCTATTCAATTCAACTATAAACTATATAAGCTCAATCAAGATAGAACAAAAAAGGGGTTAATCTTTTTTTTGGGGGGGGAGGGGGTTCGTTTAGGAGGAGGGGGGTGAAATTCAATTTTGAAAAGTGTTACTTACTATGGTTACTATGTGTTGCAGAATTTCGTGAATTAGTTGAAATTAGATAATAACATCGTTGGATGCTAACCGGTGCAGTGATCCAGTGGTTAAGCGTTCACACGTAAGACTGGTAGGTCCTAAGTGTGAATTCCCCGAGGCGAGATCGTAGGTCGATCGTCCAGTGCTTCTATGTTTTCCATGGTGGTCTAGCTACACTTGGCTCATGATCTCAGTTACTAAAAATAGTTTTATTTTGTGGAATAGTTGTGACGTGATCGTAGAAATTTACGAACAATATTAGGGATGGATTTGATGAATCTTCATAGTTAACATCACTAACTTTACCCACGGTAATGTTTTCCAGTTGTTATTCACTGTCTTTTGATATTTGCTTAGAATTATCGAAGTAATGTGTTCTTTGGTCTATCACTCTTCCGTTTAATTTCACAATTCCAAGTTAATGTTTGCCTCGTGATTCAGTTTGATGATTCGCTCAATGTATGTCCTAACCACTTCAACATATCATTCCTTAATTTCTTATTCAGAAAGAAGCTCGTCTGTTCTCTCTTACAGTAAACTGTTCCTGATAATATCCGGTCAACGGACATTGATTGACATAGATTTGAAAATCTCTTATCATTCTCCACACTTCACCTCAGTCCATCTCGTCACATGATCTCTTCATATCCGGTGTTTTCCATTCCAACTTTATCGTTTATCTTTCCCATTAGAATTGTCAGGTTTCTTCCTGACCACTTTTCTATGACTGATTGCAGTCACTCATAGAACTGATCTTTATCGTTGTCATTGTTATCCTTATTGGTTGCGTGACATTGAATAAGATTGATTGTGATTCTTTGGTTCCTATATGTCCATAATTACCGAATGATATGTTAGATTTGTATTTTTGTAATTGATATGCTGTTATTGTATCTGATCTAACAAATACAAATGACTGATTATTCAATTAGTGTTTTCCTCCCCTCTTATCATTCACTTCTCTTCTGAATTCACTAAGGCTAGTCTATTTGTAACTGTACTGGATGAATTACTGTCTAATCTATCTTCTGATTTTCTAACTTTTCATCATACTACTGAATAATCAGTCAGCTACAACATAGAATCAGTCACACATATATATATACATCGGTTCAAGTTGCCATACCTCATTCGTATAACAAGATGAACACCGAATTCATAGAGGTAGTTATTTCAATGATAGTGATATATAAGAAAACAAGATTGCATATAAGTATACACCAACACTATTGTGATCAATTCTGAGTCATGTCACCAAGAGTCTCTAATCATTGGTTACGATAGTCACCCGGACTTCAACCAGATAGTCTGCATCTACCAACATGACTCACACTAGAAGTTAGTGACTTCAATGACTGATGCCATGTTTTGGTTTGGCCACCGCTAACATTCCTCCAGCCATCCTCAACACTAGTCAACATTGAGCATCGTAATACTCAGTATTCAAGTATACATAACACATAGCCGAACCATCTCAATCGATGAAGATTTACAATCTCATCAACGGAAGAGTAGTTCATAGATTGTTAAATAAAACAAAAACCCATGATATCACATATCGAATAGTTTATTTTATGTTTTCTATTTCCAATATTCAATATTCAATTTGTTCGTTGGACACACCCTTAAACAAATAATTATAGCCATTGTATTGAATATGAAAAACAATACAAAATGGATAAATTACATTTTAATTGAAGTTTCATTGTAAAAGAAGAAAATTGGGTGTGGGGACGTTTACTTTATCCTTTAGAATAAAGATCTTGTTGAAAACAAAATACCAATTACTTACTTACATCTGTTACTCCTCGTGAAGGAGCATACGCCGCTCATCAGCATTCTCCATCCAACCCTGTCCTGGGCAATCCTTTCCAGCTCTTTCCAGTTGGTATTCATCTCTTTAATATCCGCTTCTATTTCCCGACGTAATGTGTTCTTTGACCTTACTCTTTTTCGCTTCCCTTCAGGATTCAAAGTTAGCGCTTGTCTCGTAATGCAGTTTGATGATTTCCTCAATGTATGTCCTATCCATTTCCATCGTCTTTTCCTAATTTCCTCTTCAACTAGAAGCTGGTTGATTCTCTGCCACGGTAGGCTGTTACCGATGGTATCCGGCCAATGGATGTTGAGTATCTTTCGTAGACAACTATGTATAAATAGTTGAACCTTCTTGATGGTGGTTGTAGTAGTTCTCCAAGTTTCAGCTCTGTATAGTAGAACTAACTATGTTAACGTTCGTATAGAAGATTCTGACTTTCATATTGGTTGACAGACAGTTGTTTTGAGTTGCATATGTTCTTCAATTGAAGGAATGCGGCCCTTGCTAACTAGATTGAACGAATTAAACTCTACTCTGAAAGTTAAAGGAAGAATTATGATGCCTCATAATGAAAGCTAAGATTCTTTGGAAGTCATAAGGTTGATGCCACTTCTAACAACTAGAATAACAATTATTATAGGTACATAGAATATATGGACAATGTGGAAGACTGGGAAGACCAGTTAAATAACTACGGAAACATGAAGATACAATATATCAGTACTCGAAATCAGTGAGATCCATTGAGGTCATGATAGGTAGTAAAGAATAGATACGGGAGAGATGCTGTTGAAATCTGGTCATGAATAGGAAAATGCTCCACACACTCATGGAGTTACTTTGATCCCGTGCAAGAAGCACTTATAGGATTAGAATCTCACAGATTCAGAATCA